GTCCGGAACAGTGACCAGACGACGTGCCACTCAATTGGGCCCTAGCACGCGGTGCCTACGACGAATTTTAGTGAAAGACTTGAAGACGTGTCCTTAAAAAGTGCAGACAGTGAATCAGCTGTAACCTGTTGACTGCCAAACGTGCGTGACCTACGCTCAAGCCATCCTGAATCACGACCAAGAAGATGACGATTTTTCATCGAAAGTCATGATGAGCGATGAGGCTCAACTTTCCAACTCGGCGGATACTTGAATCGCCAAACTTATTGCTTCTGGGACACCAAAAATCCGCGTGTTATTCACGAAGAGCCACTACACCCGCTAAAGGTTCCGGCGTGGTGCACTGTTTGCGCTGGCAGAATCATCGGGCATTTTTTTCGAGGACGCCGCGGGTGACACTGTTACTGTGAATGGCGGCCGCTACTGAGCCATGATCAACGGGTTTCTTCTTCCTCAATTGGATGAACTGGGACTGGAGGACATATGGTTCCAACAGGAAGGTGCAACGGCGCACACTGCCCGAGCCACAACCGACATTTTGAAGCAGGCATTTCCGGGTCACCTGTGGCGGCGCTGTCGTCGCGCCGCAAGCGAAACGCACTGAAGCCTAAATCACGCTATCCAAAATTCCGAATCATAAACAGTATATATAGAACATCTCCGAACTATCACACGGAGCGTTGGCCGCTCCCCGGGTACAACACCTTGCCCGGCGGAGATCTCCCCTTTTCCTTCCACGGTCACACCTAATCTCTCATTTTGACGATTTGCATTGGCTACCTTGTTAGCCCGATTTGACCGTATCAGACTTGTTTTTGTAGGGTTTTTGAAATCTTGTGTTTAAGTGACAAGTCTCAGACTCTGGAAGCACTCAAAGATAACATCCGAAACAAATGCGCGAACCTGTCCCTTGAAATTCTCGTAAAAGTGATGGAAAATGCCAAAAAGGGGCCCGTATGGTCATCAATGCTGGCGGCGGCCACTGGTGCGATATCATCTTCTCGACTTGATGGAAAAATTCTAATAAATTAAACATAAATAATCCACTAACAGGACCAAAATTTTTCATTTGTAAAAAAAATTACAGCCAAAGAACATCGGACGATTACTTTTGCCTCACCCGTTATGTAATTTAATTTCTGTACTATCTTTATTTTGTGGTATGGCCAACAAATTATTGTTTCGGTATTTATAAAGTTTTGAAACACTTTTACGATACAGGAGAAAATACTAGTGTCGGTTCAGCGAAAACATACTGCAGTTTTTAACTCCTCATTTGGAAGTTGTACATAGTCAATGTCTGATTAAATTTTCATTTGATTAATCGCCAGAAGAAGTATTACTAAAGAGTAAATACAGTTCTCCTTGAGTGGTGAACTCTATCTGAACTTGATGAGTGTACGGAGCCTGGAGAATTCTGAAGTTAATAATTACTTGAAAATTGCTTGTGGAATTAATAGCTTTCGGGCATCTAATATCTGAAATAAGCAGAACCTAATAATAAGTACACATTGAAATTTTGAAGCTTATAACTTTAAAGTGGACACTGAGTACTGAATAAGCTCAGTACACTTGATGGTACATGGCTAAAACCCAAGATCACTTAAAAAAAAACTATAGACGAGTTGTCACTTCTGAGTACGGATGCAATGGCACATAGACAATAATTCTACTGGCTCTCCTTATCTTCAAACTGCATCAGAACAGTCGATGCACTGCTTATTTTATCAGAGTTAAAAAAAAGCCCTTACCACCACTAATTCTTCGAAAATTAAAACTAATTTAGGTCAAAAATACAAATACCTGATTTCATACGAGTAAAGGTGACAAACGAACACAGCCTAGATAATGGTAATGCTGATGGTGTTGCTATTGACCTATTTCTCTACCTAACCTAACGAAATACCTAAGACCTCCAACGAACTAAACCTTAGCACTACTTACTAATTGTTTTTGAATAATTAGGTTTTTTTTTCTAAAGAAAATGCCAGTCCTATTTGATTATTTAAACATGTTTTTAAGAATTTTCATCGTATAATTTAAGAAATTTTACTGACTGATTCCGACTCAGCTAATATATTTTTTTAATTATTAGAATCAGACGGCTACCACCTTGCGAAAATCTAGTAGATTAAAGATGTAAAATTTTAATTTGTACGCGGTCTTTAGCAAATTAATTTTAACATCTTGAATAAAATATTTTTGTTAAATATCTTGACGTAGATTGTTTATGTAATCATTTATATAATCAAATTTAAAAATAATAAAGTTCAAATTTAATTGCGTTGTTTACTCATGACAGTTTGATGGGTATCTTTCTCAATGAAAACATAATTTGATGTAGCTTTCAATGTATATTCAATATAACTTGCACTCGTATACTGTAAATTACAGCTTTCCATTGTTACCGAATTACTTTGTAGTGACTCAACGTCGAATGATTTAAATTTATGATACTGGAAAGGTAATACATGCCGTATTTGTGGCGCTAAAATAAATTAATAATTTCAATCTTAAATTTTTAATTGAGAAGTTGTCGTAAAGCACATTCACTTCTCAATTTAACTTTATAAATTTAAATCTATTTCTACGCGTAAATTGTTATAATAAACAATATGCTAAGTATTAGTGATTTAAAAAAGAAGCGTCGTAAATACGCTTTAAATGTTGTAAAACAACGAGGAAAAAAACCAGAAAAGTACGAAATTTGCTTAATGATTATTCTGAAATACGTGAGCTGTGAACACCTCATCTCATCCAGTAGAACGACCGCGGAGGTTTAAATGAATTAATAATGTTGGTTACGTTTACGTATACGTGTAAACTCACAAGTGTATGTATTATTCATTCTATTTTAATATTTATCACACTACAGGTGTTAAAAAATTAACTTTTCGTAAAAATAAAAGGCCACTTAAAAAACTAAATAAAAAAAATAATTTACACATTTACACGTTTGTGAAGTCGGGGCCAAAATTATTCTAACAGACTTAAGAATATATTATGTGGAAATCATTTTTGTCTTTTTGTTACAGTGAGTCTTACTTTTTATTATAAGTTTAATTTTATTGTATGAAACATAGTATTACAAATTTTTAACCAAATATAAATTAAAACAAGTAAAAATGTACTAAATGAAAACTAATAAACTTAACAGTTACCTCATATTCTGCCTAAAAATCAAGAATCCAACGTTTTGTCGTATGAAATCGTATCTAACAATCATATTGAACCTATAAATGATATAAAAAGCACATTGTCAGAAAGATAAACATTTTATGAACTTATTATTAATATTAAATCGATTGATTGCTATTTTTACATTAAAAAGTGGTTTTAGTGGCTTATGGTGTAGATTTATCAAATCCGTGTGGAGGGGTAAACACGATAACTTTTGAAAATAATAATTCTTCAACTCCATCTATTTTTTAATCTCTTCATTTATCATAGCATAGCCAAAAAAATATAAACAAAAAAAAAACCAAAAAAAGAAAAAAAGAAAAAAGATATTATTATTATTTTTATGATCACAGATTTTCATTACAATATATTGTTTCACTGAAAGTACGTAGGATTTATGTATAAATATACCTATACGTCTTGGACTTTGTAGGGTGACTTGAAGGTGTACTTCGGTATCTGCTACTGGAACTCCTCGAAGAGTAGAACTAGGTGTGCCGAGTTTGACTTCGTTTTGTTAGTTATGATGAGTCCTACACCTCCTATGATGAGTCCTCCTACCTCCGGACTTGATAGAGTGACCTGAAGGTAAACTTTGGTGAATGCTAAATTAAAATAAGTACTGGTTATGACTAGAGGAAAAACTTTTTGAACCTTTTGAAAAAGAAATAAAGTTGATGAGAAAAAAATATTAACGAGTCAGCTAAAAAAGACTAGTTTTTACGATTATGTCTGAGTACGAGTACAAATACCTAAATATTAAAGTAATATTAAAGTCGATTTCTGATCGTTTTAAGATAATTCTGTTAAAAATTTTGTCAATAAACAGTAATTTTTTTTGAAGTTCAATAATAATAACATAGTAAAATTAAAATACTATTTTCTATTGTTGGATGTGAATTTTTTTCTACAAATTTTCAGCATTATGAATTGTGCACTTTCGAATTTTCCAAACTTTTTTTATTGACGTTTGAAATAAAATTATCAGAAAATTAGAAGTAATAGTAATAAGGTTATTTGTGAAAACTTGTGTGTATTTAAAACACTTTAAAAAATTGACGTCAAAATTGAAATCGAAATGTACATACCCTAAGTGATCATGTTATCATGATCACTTAGGTTATGTACATTTCGATTTACCAAAAGTTTTTTTAAAACTGCAATGGATGAAAAATTATTGCAATTATTTTTTAGGTATTGAATTATTTATTTTTATGTGCTCATTGTGAAACTGGAACGCATTTACTCTGTGGCGATTCGAGGTACGTAAGTATCCCAGTGAGGACAGAGGCGACCTAGTTCCCGCCCGTTCGATGCAGAGCGCGCCCGCCCGCCCAGAATAGACGCAGCACGTGCGTCGTCGACAAACGTCGCTCGCTCGCTCCGGCGCGGGCTTCGTAGCGCTCGCGCCAAACGTAACACTACAGAATTTAAACGTAACAAATCGCGTTGTGATTTACTACCGAAAATCAACTTAAACCTAACTCCGGCTTTCACACTTTACTCTGTAACCACGTTAAAGTTATTAAACGTTAATTACAAGTGCTTTGCCATCGTGGTGGCCTTCAACGATATCTCAAACCGGTAGTTTCGATACGTACAGAGCTTTTATACATGTAAATGTTTACGTACTTAACTGTTACTGTTTGTTACTTAGTATATTGTGAGAAAAATTTACGTGTTTTATTTTTCGTAGTGCTATTCTTAGCTTTATTTGATATACCTAACTGTGTATTAATGTGCCTTAACCTGTAATGTTCACGTGCATTCTCGGTAGAGCTGTCTTGAAGCTGTAATTCTGCGTGTGAGTCACTGTAAATATGCGCTGCGTCGGTTTAGTATTGCTTCTGGCGTTATTGATGGTACCGGAGCCAACTCCAGCATGGAAAGCCGATATGTAAGAATTTTATACTTTATAAGCGAAAACTTTTATATATTTTACATAGATTTAAGGTTCACAACCATCCTGAAATACCGTGTAGCGGCCGTGTAAGAATATCCACTACCCCATATCATCCCATATGTGTTGTAACAGGCGACAGATGGAAACAAATTAGGAGATGGGCACCAGCGTCTTCCTAATAATGCCAAAAAAATAAAAGCAGCGGTTGCGAACCCGCTTGCCAAGCGTGGTAACTATGGCAAATATATGCCTAATGAAGCAATCAATGAGGGAGGCCTATGTTCAGCAGTGAACTTTACTAGCCTCTAACGGTAACTGTAATCAATCTGAATGTCTTAAAGCATCATGTCTGGAAGAAAATGTAAAGTTAAATGAAGTTATTATGGTTAAAATACGAATTTGTCCGCTCCATTTCCCCGGGTCACCAAGTTGTGTACATGAGCATAACGTTGCTGTGTTTCAAATAGTCAGCAATGAGAACCGAAGACCGTTTTTACAACACAACAACAAAAAGTATATATTAATCTATATTTTGATCGCTCCACAAATACAATAAAATGTTGATCGTATGAGTTAGAGAACCGGAGAACTGTTTGTAAAAGAATTCCATTTCAGTCCTCAGGTTCACTCTGTTTTGTTTCTCAATCGAAGTTAAATGTAGATCTCTATGGGGCATAGTATCCACTTACCATCGGGTGGACTGTGTGCTCGTTTGTCGCCCTCACAAGTTTTTACAAGGTAACAAATGTCAGTAAGATGGAATGTTTCTCATCTAAGCCCTCACCTTTTTAAACTTCACTAAATGTCGCGTCTATAGGCCACTGCATCTACTTTCGATCCGGTGGACTGCATGCTCTTTTCACATTTGCTTGTTTAAAAAATTTACCAATTTAACTTTTAATTTTGTTATAAATATAAATAATTTAAATAATATTATAAAAACGCGTCCTATAAAATGCCTAAATCATTTTGCAAAATATATATGTACAGGCTAGTGATGATGATAACAAATCATCGATTTTAATTAATTTAATTAAAATTAACTTATATTCCTTAAATTTAAAACTAGTGTCTAGAAATAATAGTATGGGTCACTAAAATATTAAAATTATACGGCTGTCCAGTAAAAAGTTATATATGAAGCGAAATTTATTAAACCTTAAAATGAAGTTTAATATAGTGGATTCAGTTCAAGGTTTAATTATTCTAGTATAATATATTGTCGCATACACTGTTCTTGATACCATCAAATTCAAACTTTCGTTAAATATTTACTAGTCATAACATTTTATTTCATACTAGCATCGCATCCCGGCTACGTCAGCGCTCATGTAGTTTAACAAATACTCATAAAATATATTAATAAAATACAAAAAGCTGATATATACTATATTTTAAATTATATACTAAAAATAATACATAAAACAAAACATATTTAAAAAAAACTTTTGGTTGATCCAAATGTGCATGCCTTAAGCGCTCATGTTATATATCAATTTCTTAAAGTACCTATTTTAAATATACATAAGTTTTCACAAGTAACCTTATTGCTACTATTTCTAAATTTTTCGATAATTTTATGTCAAACGTCAATAAAAAAGTTTGAAAAATCCAAAAGTGTACGACTAATAATACTCTTAGGATTATGAAAAAATGTTGAAAATTCTCAATCAACAATAGAATTTTCTTTTAATTTTAGATTTTAGATTCAATTTTTTTATTATTGTTAATTGAAAAAACTTTTAACAGAAATTATCTTTGAACGATCAGACATCAACCTTTTTATTATTACTTTAAAATTTAAGAATTTGTACTTAGGCATTATCGTAAAAACTAGTATTTTTTACCTGACTCGTTAATGATTTCTTTTTATCCTCCTTTATTTAATTTTCAAAAAGTTTTTCATATAGTCATAACTAGTATTTTAATTTAGCATTCACCGAAGTACATCTTCAGATCACTCCATAAAGTTCAAGACTTATAGGTATATTTATACATATAAATCCTACGTTCTTTTATCGAAACAGTATATTATAATGAAAATCTGTGATTATAAAAATAACAATAATATCTTACCTTGGTCAAGTATGTATCAAATTTAGTTATTGGAATATTTTGTATTTCTACAGCGATCGATATTTTTTCAGTATTAGCCTCTGTAAACAGACGATATAGTGTAATCCACTTACGACGGCAGCCGAGCCCGCAGTGAGTCAAAATATATCTGTAATTAGTAAAATATTTTATTACAAGGCTGCGCAAACACCGAAAATTTCAGATTTTCTCAGCCGAAAAAATTTTTTAACTAAACAAAACAAAATTAAACAACCATTTACATTTCATAACTTCCCATATAATAGATGAATGGATTACAAAATACTGAGTTGAACAATTAATTGATATTTTCAAAAGTTAGCGTATTTACCCCTCCATGCGGGCGTGATAAATCTACACCATAAGCCACTAAAACCACTTTTTAATGTAAGAAGTTAATCGATTTAAAAATAATAATAATAAGTTCAACAATCATTTGTCTTTCTGACAATGTGATTTTATATCACTTTTAAGTTAAATATACTACTTTGATGATTGTTAAATACGATTTCATGCGACAAAACGTTGGATACTTGATTTTTATGCACTAGTAGAACAAATCTACGCGCTTTACGCTTAAAGCATACAATAGTACAAATTTTAATATTCTGCTAAAAGTAACAAAAAGAACAGTAAATAAGTAACGTAATAAATAACGTAGACGTCCAACTACTGAGCCTTCACTCGTTTCTAAAAGAGTTTTTTTGCTTGTTTTCTACATAAATTACTCGTATATGAAAGTTGTTAACCATTTTCCGCAATCCCTTATATTTAAAATTAATTCAAACATCGCATTTAATGTCTTTAATTTAATATATTTTTGCACGGCGTAACGAAAAAGTATTTGGTATAATATTCATTTTAAATCTCAGAAATGTATATTTATAATGTAAATAAATGTATAAACGGATATTTCCAACCTCAAAAAAGATTTTCAATTTAGCTGTATTATTTTTGTATGAATGTTACGTGATATTTTCGCCGATTGTGAACCCATTTTAATAATTTATTTTATTGAGTGGACTATAAATACCTTGAGGGTGGCGGCCGGTGGTTTGAAAAATCTACCCCTAAGGGTGGAAAAACTGAAATGAACTTTTGAACATAAATATATTAGACGTCTTTCTAGTCACCTTGACCTGGTATTGTTTCTTAGTTCACTTAATAGGGTAAATAATTAGAGAAAAATAAAGTAAAAAAAGTCAAGGCTTTATTTAAGATTCACTTTTTCTTAGCGCCAGAAGCCATACTGAAGCTCTATGAAATCATGTAGAAATTATTTAATTTTTTTTTAATTTTGTATGGTTGATAGTTAACGTTTACCTATCGTGAAATCATCGAGTATAAAATATATTTACAAAGTAAAATGCTGCAATAATTCTAAAACAAAGTATGCACGGTATTTAGGATTATGTTTCTTGACAGCAATTATGCTTTTTATGGTGGGTACGAATCTACTAGAATAGCGATAATCTTCGCAAAGTGAACCCGAAGATCGGGCTTAGTATAGTGGTACAGCAATACATGGGAGAGTCCTTTTTCCATATATTAACTATGATAATCAATGACGATTACGAACTATGAAGTATAATATAAATCAGCGAATAAATAACATATTATTTAAGCGAAATACCACTGGTCCACTCACTCGTAGCAAGATTTCCAAAACTATACGCCCAATTGAATTGAAATTTGGCTTATAATACTCCTTTCTCGCCATAAACATATACTAAAACTTTTGAAAATTTACCCTGGAGGAGGTGAAAAAGGGTGGTTTTTTTTATAGGATAGGGTGACAAACGAGCACACAGTCCACCTGATGGTAGGTAGTTGCTCCGACCCATATACATCTACATCTATCCTCGATTACGAATCAAAATGCAGATGCGTTGTCACCCGTGAGGACTAAGATGGAATGCCTCGTTTCCAGTAAAAAGGGTCTCCGGTCTCTACACTCACCGTACGAAACACAGCAGCGTTAAGCTACTGCTAAGCTAGGTGTTTGTTATAGCTTGTCGTCTAAATAACATACGATAGTTAAAAAAAATTTCTTTATAAACATTCGTGCCAATTTAGGCAAATCGGAACCCAAAGTCACTTCAGTGTCTGTGCAGAAGTTTTGTCTCTGGTAGTGTTTCACATGTGATGATTGAAATTGAGTGTTTGGCAGGTGACGCTGTAGACGGAATTTTATCGATAAAATTGGCGTTATATTGAAGCCGGACCAAATTAAATGTACCATTAACTAACGAACATGTACTTATTCGTAGATTTATGGATGTGAAAGAAGGAAGACAGGTTTGTCAGGATTGTGCCGGATGGAAGTTCATTGTCACTGCCCACCACTTTGCGTGACAAAGTTTATGTTTTTTTTTTTATAGAATAGGGTGACAAACGAGCACACAGTCCACCTGATGGTAAGTGGTTGCTGCGGCCCATAGACATCTACATCTATCCTCCATTAAAAATCAAAATGCAGATGCGTTGTCACCCGTGAGGACTGAGATGGAATGCCTCGTTTCCAGTAAAAAGGGTCTCCGGTTCTCTACACTCACCATACGAAATACAGCAGCATTAAGCTACTATTTCACGCTAGTATTCTGTGAGAGCGTGGTCCTTCCCCGGTCGAGCCGACCCATTCGTACTATAACTATACTACTAATATAACTGCAGCATGGCTCTACCACGTACTAAATTTAATTATAAATAATAAATTATATATATAAAATATATTAAATTTATGTTATTCATGATTAGAATTGGGCATAATTATATTACAATTATAAGATTACGACTAATATAAATTAGCATGCACCAAACAAAGGCAAAAAGTTCATGCGGGTTTATCCTTAACAACAAAGAAAGATACCTTGTAACAGCGATCCAAAGCATTGAGCAAATGATAGTGACTATATGCTCTTTGGCGCTGATTTCGAAATCTCGACTACTGCTATGTTATAAATAATTATGATTAGATGGTCAAATCACTCTTTTATATTTTTAATCCAAAATCAATAAAAATTTCATGTAAACAGAGTTATTTTGCAATAACCGGCAACATTACAGAGATGGTTCAGAATTACTTATTCTGAACCATCTCATTTCAAGACAACACAAACATTCGGTCATTTTTATCTTTTAAATTCAAAATGCGTAGTGGGTAAAAATGTTGTTGCTCATAAATCACATTCAATTTGGGGTAATTACAAATAAAATTAGAACCCTTGTTTACTCATAATTTCAAAAACTGCAATAACGGTATATCATTATTTATATACTTGAACTTAAGTTTAAAATTTAGCTACTCTTTGAAAATTAAATGTGGATATATTGTAACGATCCCCTACAGGTTAGCTAAATCAGCTGTTACAAACATCACAGAAATATTTATTTTGCTACATATTCAGAAACGCGCGATAGTAATAAAACTCATTGTTGCAATATGTTTAAAGAATAAGTATTTTAGTGAAAAAAGCAGGGAAAAGTTGATTTGGTATAGAACTTTAGCTATGGAAGTAAAAGGGAAGATCTTCCTTCGGGGAAAAAGAACTTCTAACAAATCAAATTGTTTCTGATAACCCATGATAAAAATATCGGGAATTCGAGCAAAAACGGCAAATAGAGAAAACTAACAACAGGTTATCGATATTACGTGTTTAATTATTAAATTTCAAAATTACTGTCTCATGCATTAAAACGTGCTATTTTTAACATGTTACACCTGTGCCGGCAGTTGATGGGAGCACTAAGCTCGAAGTCGTCAACGAGAATGTTTACCTGGGACAAATAGTCCTACTAGGTAAGTCTAACTTTGACCGAGAGGGCAATTGACGGATTCAACTCGGCTGGGCAGCGTTCGGGAAATTACGACACATCTTCTTGTCAGGTACACCTCAAAACTTGAAAACGGGATTGTACAACCAGTGCATGTTGTTAGTTATGATTTATGGATTTGAGATGTGGTCCTTCACTGTGGCCGTATGATGAAGAGCAAGTTCGCTCAGCGAGCTATGGGGAGGGCTATGCTCGGAGTGTCTCTGCGTGATAAGCTTAGAACTTAGGACCAGAGTGACCGACATAGCCCACGGATTATTAAGCTTAAAGTAGCAGTGGGCCGGACATATAGCTTGAAGAACCGACAACCCGTGGGGAAAAAATGTTCTCGAGTGACAGCCTCGTACCGGTAGGCGAAGTGTAGGGCGACCACCTACTAGATGGAATAACGTCCTGGTAAGACATGCAGGAAGTCGATGCTACATCCATCGTGGCTGAGGATCGTGCTTTGTGGCGTTCCTCGGGAGAGGCCTATGTTCAGCAGTGGGCTTGTGAAGGGCTGCAGTGATGATGATGATTTTCAAACTTGTCTCGTCTAAAAAGGGGCATACTTAGATAATAATATTTATAATTGTCTATATTTTATAAGAGACTATTTTTAGGTGATTCTTAAATTTTATAATTTTTTCCTTTTATTTAGGTACTCTTGATGTGGAGTTTTAAGGAAATGATAAAACGTTTTTTACTTTTTAATAAAATAAACATAAATTTAATATAAACGGTCTAGGTTTATATTAAATTTATGTTTATTTTAGTCAGTATGTACCTACTAATCGTTAGATTCCGTAGTCTTCTATAATTGTCAGATTCAATGTTTATTCGAGGGATTTTATCCTTATCATACACTTTATCGATTCGTTCAATAAACTTGCGACAGTCTATTTTTGGTATTTTAGTTGGTTGGATTCCCAGCTTAGGTAAGATTTTTTTTTTAAAAATGTTTTAGTGTGGTTACTCCGATTTTGAAGAACAAAGGAAATGTTTCCTTTGAAAGAAATTTGATATCTTCAATACTTAATGTACTTTCCCTCCACGTTCCGTTCGTTTTTTACAACCTGTAAAATGGGGAATAATTCCGAAACTTCGAGGCGATATAGAGATATAACCTCCTTGACTACCTTGGTTTTTGGATGCAAAACTTAGTAGAGAATATACCATAACTGCTAATGTACACTCAGGATATATTCTTTCCGAAAAGTTTGTTCATTTAACGACACGATTTTTTGTTTGGTTGGTTGGTTCATGATAATTGTGAATTATGCTTTTGATGACATATAGTATGTTGTTAATGGAGGGTAAAAGATTCGACAGCGAAAGAAACTTATTATTGTAAAAATTTAGTTATTTATTTTTTTATTTATATAATAAAGGTGACAAACGAGTACAATGTCTACCTGATGGTAAGTGGATGCTGTGGCCCATAGACATCTACATTTATCCTCGATTAAGAATCAAAACGCACATCCGTTGTCATCCCTGAGGACAAAAAAGGGTCTCCGGATCTCTACACTCACCATACGTAACACAGCTGTATTAAGCAGCTATTTTACGCTGCTATTCTGTGAGAGCGTAGTCCTTCCCCGATCGAGCCGACCCATTCGTGCTACAACCATAATATAGCTGCAGTGTGACTCTACCACGTATGTTACTCGTACGTATGTTAGCAAAGCCACTGTAGGATGCTGCAAAATTATTAGTTTATATGGTTGAGAATTACGAAAAAAATTTTATTCTTCACATATAGACTTGTTTCAACTGTCTTTCAGTACAAATTAGGAATAATGGGGCTCAACATTCCAATTCAATCCATTTGAGATAAAATCCTCTTAACAAATCAAGGGAAAAAAGACCCTCCAGCCTCGAGCGTTGAGTACGAACAAAGTTTCCTAATTATGCATGCCACTTGCGCATTATTCGAAAAGTCCGGCTCATGTACCGTCGACTTAAGATACTAATGTGTTGATTATAATGAATGAAAATGTTGATGTTATGTATACTTACATTTTTTTTCTTTTTCTTCTTTATTAGCCAGAAAAGGTTCACTGTTTTCTTGAGCCTTTTCCGTTGAACATTGGATATATTTGTCTTAGTTGCTACACTGCGGCCTATTTCCAGATTTGTTTCCCTCTGTCGCCTCTTACGGCACCCATGGGACGATATTATGGAGTAGTGGATATTCTTGCACCGCAACCAAATGGTCTAAATGACCTTAATAGCACAGACGCTATGCAGCTTTGACTCCACTCCGCATATTAAACGATCATACCGCCATCTTTCGGAAACCATAAAACCGGCATTTTCCATAGTCACCTCTAGCAACATCTAAGCGACGACATGAGGCGATCAATACTTTTACTCCCCAACGAAAACGAACGAAGTATATGTTGTGTGTAAAATTACAATTTCTCACTACATGGTCGGGCTAATTTTCCATCTTGTAGTCCGTCTGTAGGTATCACGCTCTCACCTATTTCTGCTTACGAGTTTAGTTACAGGGCAGTTTACAATAAACGATTAAGTGGACAGTAGCGTTCAAACGTCTTCGTGGCGAGTTTAGTTAAAAAAGTACAATTTTATATTTTTGGAGTCGAACGCGATTACCTTGCGTCCTGTTAACTTATGAGAATTACACTCAATCGTTAACAGTTGAGGGTTGGAGGGTAGTTGAGGGTGGCGGGAGACGCTTGGGAGGGCAACACTTCGAACTTAACTCGCCGAAAAATAGATAAGCCAGCTATCCTGTTCAACTTAATTGTTAACTTGCTACTTAACTCACTAATTGCCGTTCAAACGAGATTTTCAACTTAACTCACCGTGTTCGCAAGCTAACTCGCTACTATACTTGTCTAAGTGTAAATCGGTCTTAATTAGCAGTTCTTGCGATGCTGTGTCTTGGTCTGAAGGACATAAAGAGTCAGTAAAATTACAAACATTCTCCATCTTAGTCCAAAGAGGTGATAACGAATCTGTGGCCTTCCTGTTTACCATCAGGTGGACTGTGAGATCCTGAGTCACTTCATTTCACAAGGAGGTCACATTTTTTAAACAAACCTTAATATAACACATGTCAATTATTTTAACAGTGTGAAATTGTGGGCAGCAGACTTAGGCGAAGACATATGGAAATTAAGCGAGGCGCTTACAAAATCGTATCAAATCCGAGCAGTAAGTAGATGATTGTATGTTATTCTCTTGTATTTTTGTTTTCACGGATAGGTTTTTGATAACCTGTCAATGACAAAAGCAAAAAGAGCCGTAGTAGCTCAGGGGCTAAGCACCTGCTGTCAATTTCGAAGTACGCGAGCAACCCGGGTTCGATCCCTGCCAGCTCCAAGTAAATTGTTAACTGCAAATTTAAGTGCTGAATTTCAGATCCTCGGTGGTGAATAAAAACATAATGAGGAAACCTGCATGTCTGAGAAATAAGTAAAAATTATTTTGAAGACATGTGAATTTTGCCAACACGCATTGGGGCAGCGCGGTGGACATTTCATTGCCCTAAAACCTTTAGAAATTAAGAGGAGACCTGTACCCAGCAGTGGGACGTATATAGGCTGTAACTTTAACTTTTAACTTTAGCCTGTCAATATTTTCATTAAAAATTACTGTGATTATAAAAGAAAGCTGACATTAAAATTTAAAGCTACGTCGTAAGTTAAAACATTTTAATTTTCCTTAGTAAATATTGATCCATATGTCAACATAATATGGTGACATATATGGCTCTGAGACGTGGTGGAGCTGGTAGTTTGAGGAAGTTCAAGGACGCTTAGCAAACTATGCTCGGAGTTTCTTTAGAATTCGTAATAGCCCAACGGATCAATAAGCTGAAGTAGCAATGGGCCGGCCGTATATCTCGAAAAACCAACAACCAACGGAAAAAATGCTCGAGTGGCAGCCTCGTATAGGCAAGCTATAGAGCGGCTACCCACTAGATGGGGTGATGATCTGGTAAAAGATACAGGAAGTCAGTGGATGCTGGTGGCTCAGGACCTGTGTTCAGCTGTGGACTTGTGATGAATATTAATGCTGATGATGATGTTGAAGTAAATTTTAATTTCTTTTTCCTTTTTCGAAAAACATGTTATATGAAATGAAAAGAAGTACCCTTAACCGACGAGTATGAATGCGTAGATATATGGATGTAAAGTAGGCGAAAGAGGTGTCAGGATCGTGCCAAATAGAAGTCCGTAGTCTCTGCCTACCCCTCTGGCTGACAGGTTTGAGTGTTTATGTACGTATGTTATATGAAACTTACTTAGAAGACTTAATATCTTTAATTTAAGGTTTGCATATGATATCTAAACAGTAAACAGTTATTTACACCTATTTTTATTTCTCAGAAATACAAACAAATGAATGCTAGCGTAAAGAAAAAAGATGGTAAACAAATTTTGGAATCCTCCCTGCGGTCTGTCAGTACAATGCTCACGAGGAAAATCAATGCCGTGAAGGTAAACAAAAAAAAAACGTTTATAATGACCCTTAGGATATTATTGATACAATATTTAAGCTGTCTCATTAATTTTGCTCTTTTTATACCACTTTTTATATTATTCAATTAGGGGTTCATTTTACAATGGTCAGATGAAAGTTGTTCAGAATAAACCACAACATAAACAAATTAATTCAGTCGGGTTGTATTTTACTTGACGTATAACTTTTATCTGATAATTGAAAATGAAATTTACTCAAGAATTAGTAATGTCTGATGACTCATATTTATGATGTAGCTAATTTTATGACTTGCGCCTAAATGCGACTTTTATTTTAAGTACTTTCGGCTTTTTTATTTTTATCGCCCACTTAAAGTAAGTATTAAAATATCTATACCTGTCTCTTTCTATTGACATATAGTGAAAAAGGGCGACTTTCAGAATTTCTTCAATTTACGTTGATTATCATGAGTTTTGACCGTTGAGTTTTGGCCGTTTACGTTTAAAAACTGAAAATGCAGTCTAGCTTAAATATCGCCTAATGAACTTGTAATGTAGCGTATAAATTTAACTTACGATTATATAATACGGTATGGTAATATATATTAGGTAGTACCTAATTTATTAAATTAATGTAATACTTGAATTTTAATAGACACGAAGCACCGTATTGTTGAGTTTATTTTAGTAACTATAATATCAAAAACAAATAACTGCGTAATTTTTCAGTTATACTAAATAATCCAATTCTTGATTTTTTTAATTAACATGCTACATTATATGGTTAATAAAACTATTATTAAATTCGAGTATTCGTCGCTAAGTTTGTATTATAAAATATATATATACTTGGGATCACAATGCAACTATTATTTGTAGCGGGAATAGATCTTTTATCTACTCGTATATCATGAAATTAAAAAGCACACTTTAGTCAATATTCAATGAAAAACAATAGATTAGAATTTATTCACGTCGTTTTATTACTAACTTGACTACATAAAAGGTTTTATAGTTTATTTAAAAGCTTATTCTATAGCTTTGAAATTTAAAGTTTAATTTTAAATAAAACGTTAATACAGCAACAGTTCTATAAAGTAAATATTTTGCGACATGGCTTCGAGTATTATTACAATTGCTATCAGTATTAATGAAGTAATGAAAATTTCAGTGCATCCATCGGACGGCGGAGCAACTTGCGCGGGAATTCAATTACTCAGTCATAAATGAACATTATAAATTCGAATATTGTTCCGCTAAATATTCCGAATTCTATAAGGAAGGGGAAACGGAGCCGATGAAACCCAAGGAGGTTCCAATGTTTGCAAAGAATAAAACTCATTATATGAATGTAACCTTAGAAAGGGATTCCCATTTTTACGATATAAACGTAAATACAAATTTAAGTTGCGTCCACGTACCTACAAATATTTATTTTAAAGGTATTTAATTAATAAATAGTTATATTAAATAATATATAATATATGTTTAAGTATCATTATCAAAAGAAAAAAAGTTCAATGTTTTAGATATATTACTATCATGTATCACATTAGTACATTTTACTTTTAATAATAATTCTCTAGTTAAATTATTAAATAAATTTAAAATTTCAGAAGTCGAGGCATTAAGAGCTATTTTATGGTCAAAGGATTTAAACGATATTTTTATAAAGAATTATAAAGCCGACCCTTCACTAGCGTGGCAATACTTTGGAAGTTCAAGCGGAGTGATGCGCTTTTTTCCTGGTATGCCGTGGAATATGGAGAAAGTGGATACGTACGATTGCAGGGTACAGTCGTGGTACATAGAAGCGGCTACTTGCTCTAAGGACGTCATAATACTTTTTGATGTATCGGGTTCGATGACCGGATTCAAAAATTACGTGGCACGCAGTACTTTAAAGGCTTTATTAGATACGCTTTCTAACAACGACTATGTTAACGTATTTACCTTTAAGGACAAAGTAGCAGAAGTAGTTAAATGTTTTGAAGGTCTCGTTCAAGCAACCCTAGAGAACAAGCAAGCTATTATTAATACTTTAGAGCCGACGAAGGATAAGAAACACAAAGTGCCTTTAGAACTTAGCGCCAACCTCACAACGGCTTACAGAACTGCTTTTACTACTTTAAAAGAGGTAAGAGAAATCTTAAACTTGATTTCTTATTTAAATGAAACACTCTCATTATCATCACCATTGCCATTATCATTGTCAGCCTTCAATCAATATCCTGTTGGTCTGTGAAATGTCACTAATTTATTGAAATGCAAAAATTTGTTGAATTATTAAATGTCTCTACGAGTAGATAGATCTTGAGTAATAGTGAGGTTTCGAAACCAAAATTCGACTTCATAATTACGTTGCTATTTAATGCCGCATTTGGTATAACAATCCATTAGAATTCACTTCTGTAAATGGGACACTGGCGTTTTCGCGAGGATTTGCATTTAACGTCAAGTTTAGCAATCGCAATACGGTCTTGCGCCTTTGACGCCGCCTCCCATTGTATGTATGTCTGGCGTAAATATAATGATATGCTACCATCTATTGATAGATTATGTTATTATATGCATTACACTACATTTTTCATATGTTTCTTATATAAATAAGATAATAGATTACCTTTCTTACGCTGGCATGACACGGCTAGTCGTGGTTTACTTAAACGTAAAGATTTGTTTATCTATTATTGTCATATGAAGAGACTAATTGTATTGTAGTTTTATTTTTATTGATCTGTTTATTATAAACCAACGATTCTATAATATCCTAGAAAATGTGTGATCATAACCGCTTGTGTTTATCTTGCATTATCGGTGAGAGAAAACAATGCTAATTCATCTTGCAACGGCACGTCCTCGTAAAACTTTCGCTACCTATATCAATTTTTGACCATGATTTATCACTTTTTCAACACTTATTGAACTATTTATCGAGAGTAGATTTGACACCAGCCCAGCACTGCTTTTTGCAAACATCTGGACTATCTTGTCGCTTAGCGATATGTAAAGCATACCTTCAGAGTCGTTACGTACACCCGAATAAATATTTTTTTGTAATATACGAATGATTGGTTTTTGGGTACACGATTACTGTGACGCAATATATTTCCTGTTCACTTAACATGAGATTCATGTAAATATATCAGTGTTGCTCAAACATTGCCGACCTCTACTTACGTTATGATTTTTTATCAACTTTACTTGATTGATATTTTTCTTTCGTGTCTTCATTTTCATCGCTACAAGAGCATCACTATCATCTCATTAGTATCATGATATTTTTTATTTTTAAAAATGCGTACAAACTTATTCAAAATTTTATAAGGAAGGCTAGGCTTATTTGATAAGTATTTCTATCTCTATATTACGTATGATGGATAGTTTTCATTTGCAAATGTATTCTAAACATCACTTAATTACCGCTAAATTTTATGTCTTGTTTACATAAAATCTCATGCTAAAATGAACAGAGTACAGTAAAGTAAGTCAATGCCTGGACTAAATTGTAATATTCTTTTTTCTTGCGTAATTTAAAAGTAACTGGCGGATAATATCATCATCGATGTCAACGATAGGGACATTGTCATCATTAAAAAAAGTATTGGAAATGTTTAATGGATTACTTTAGTTTTCGTCCGATTCTTTAAATATTTGAATTTTTTTTTGTTTGTTACCAATTTCTTTGAATATTTGAATTTTAGAAACGGCTACATTGCGATGTATCAAGCACACAGGGCTGCAATCAGTTAGTTATGGTCATTACGGACTATGTACCTGGAAATCTAACCGAAGTGTTCGAAGAATATAACAGAGAAGTGATAGATGGAAAAACTTATATACCCGTGAGAGTGTTCACGTACTTGATCGGAAAGGAGGTCACCAACGTTCGCGAGATACAGTGGATGGCCTGCTTGAATAGAGGTAAGGGCATATGAATATGAACAGCTAATAAAGTAGACTGGTCTGATATTCATAACTTTAATTTAAAAAAATAGATGAAGCATGCATTTTTTATTTGTTTTATTAATTGTCAAGTTTAGAATAACTGAATAAAAAAACAAGTGGTAAAATTATTTTTTTTTACAACCGACTTCAATATAAATAAAATGCGAATATCATCAATGTAGTTGAAATCAATTAAATACGCATTATTCAGGATAACTCAAAAACTACTGGTCAGATCTGGGTCAAATTAAAATGGGACCACATGAAAAGCACCAACCTTCAAATAAAAAAAATCATCAGAATCACTTCACCTAGAAAAAATTTCTTAATGAACTTAAAAAACAGTAAAATACAGTCGAATTGAGTACCTCATCCTTTTTTTGAACTCGGTTAAAAATCAGTTAATTGTTTGAAAATAAACTAAGTATTCTAATTTTATTTTGGGTAGCAATTGTTGCTGTTGGTTTAAGATATTTTTATCAATATACCCGACCGTCGGTTTGTACTGATACTTATTCAAATTTAATTAAATTTAATGTAAATTGAATAACCAAAAAATGTTTATCATAACTTCACGAATAAATACAAATAAAATTCTTTCATTTTATGTAGGGAAATTAGGACTTAGGACTATATTTATTTACATTTATGTAAATCACATAAGCTTACTAATAAGACTTATGGGCCCTGGTAGCTCATATGGTTAGCGCTCGCTGTAAACTACGAGAGCAACCCAGGATCAATCCCCGCCGGCACCAATGAAATTGTTAATTGCAATTTTAAGTGCTAATTTGCCACGTGCTTGGCAGTGAAAGAAAATACCTGCATGTCTGAGCGTATAAGGAAAAGTTTTTGAAGACATGTGAAGTTCGCCAACAGGCAGCGCGGCGGATTTTCTTACGAAAAACGCTCTCAGAAACGAGAGGAGGCCTGTGTCCAGCTGTGGGACGTATATAGGCTGTATCTTTAACTTTAAATCAAACTTTTTATTGATTTTAATTAATTGTTGTTCTTTTAGGTTACTTCGTCCACATCCACTCGGTGGAGGAAGTGCAGCAGCAAGTACTGAAGTACATCAACGTGATAGCACGCCCTATGATTTTGGAGGGTAGGGAACCTCCACCAACTTGGACCCATGCCGCAATTGATTACACGGTACCTTAATGAGATAAAAATAAGCAATAACTTAGCAAATTTTGAACATAGAATAGTAATTTATGGTACAAACGTGTATAAAAAACTTAATAATATATTAACGAGTGAAAAAAATATGTTAAAAAATATTCTCTGACATAAGGTCAAACACAAAACACCTGGACCAACAGACGTCAATAAACAGCTTTTTAACCTACTTCAAAAAAGAAGGAGGTTCGCAATTCCACTTTATTTTTTAATGTGTTACCTCAGAACTTTTTTCTAGGTGAACCGGTTTTGATAATTCTTTTTTCATTTAAAAGCTGGTGCTTCTCATGTGATCAAGATCTGACTAGTAGTTTTTGAGTTATCCTTAATAATGTGTATTTGACTTCGACTACAATGATGATGTTCTCATGCTATTTATATTGGAGTCGGTTGTAAAATAATATCCCACTTGTTTAACAATATTTATTTATAAATAATTGTTTTATGTTGATCTAACAAGCCAAAATTTTAATAAAAGCAGCAGTATTTACCTAAAAAATTACACGATAATGAAAAAAACAACTATGGCAAATATCTTGAATGAGGCAATTTGTGGGGGACAATAGTCAGTGGACCTTTGATGGGTTGAAATGAGTTAATCCAAATCATTCGACCTGCTTTTAAAGTATTTTAATTTTACACAATTAATTAAAATTGCCGTATTTTTTTTACTACGTCGATTGCGCCGTATCGTTTAACGGCCAGCAGGATAATGTGAACTCATCGCATAATCTGATATCACACAAAGTATACTTCCAGTTCTAATACAGCCTCTAACTACAGTTTTTGGGGGGACATAGCTCCGTGGGCCCCTCTCTGTAACTGCTCTTGGTACTTTATCTTACACGAAAATGTCTTTTTCATCTTATACAAATTTATAACGAAATACAAAACTAGGCATGTCGTTCGAATGGTTTGAATGGTGAAAATCAGCAGACCGTCTGGTTGTCCGATGGTGGAAAGAGGAGGGGTAAATAATGTTATTCTTGTTCATACTCTCCGGAATTTATTCCATGAAACACCGAGACGGTAGCTACTATGCGTCGGTGCTCGATGCTGACAGACTTTTAACACGCCCCTCGACTGAGTACAGCACTGCTAGGGGGAATTTTTCAACAACATCCTATATGGGACAGTAGTACTCCGTGCACGATCTAATATAAGCTTTATATGGGGTAAGACGCTTCTCCGACGTGAAGTTTCGTCGCACCTGAAACAGATAGAAACAGGAACTTATTTAATAAATATAGATTATTGCCACTGATTCGGAAAAAAACTTCTGGCTTAGAAAGAATCAGCGAAAAACCGAGCGGGACTTTAAAAAAATAACACCTTACAATCATTGAATAAAACTATTATTTACGGCAACTATGACATTGGGACGTCAAACATATCAGTCCCCCTCGTGACCATGGGTGCTGTAAAGCACCCGAAACGTCGGGATAATAAAAATAAATTAAAGTGGTAATTAAACGCAATAAAATCAGTAAAAATCCGTAATAGTTTTATTCAATGTATAGTGTTCGCGTAAATTTGAGAAATCATTAAACTTACAATCATGTTTATTACACGATCAAGAAACACAATACGAATTAGAAATATCTTAGTAGCGATTAACTCATTCCCAGGGGTTGCTATCATCCATAAATTCCTTAATATTATAATAATCGTTTTTAAACAAACTTAGTTTGAAATTTTTTTTGAACTTTGAACAGGTCCTAGTACCTAGACCTAGTTTACTATCTTTGGTCTTGTACACTGTGAATCGCACAAAGTTGTGGTTCGGAAAATCTCAACCTCTAACATCTAAAGGCGGTCAGTGTACTGCAAAGCCATATCCCGGAATGTAGGAGCCAGAGTGAGCGGGCTACTTATTGCACAGACAAACTTATGTTTCAGAAGCGTTGGGTCACAGATTTCCATAATCGCATTCACAAATTGACTCTTTCGGACTGGATTTAATCCCGACTAGCTCGAGCATTCAGTTGGTATCTTTCCACGACTGTGCTGTCATATACATACCCATATAGCCAGGTATTTTTTGATCATTAATATTCAGCAGAAAGAGAGTTGCGGAGAGAACTAACTCCTGAGGAAAAACGACGTTACCGATTATAGGGTCAGACGGGCAGCCCTCGACGACGATTCGGAGAGACTTTTTACTCATAAACCTCAACCAGTCAATTAGACCAGGCAAAGGCATTGCACTATATGTAAGTGGCATATTCTAGAGCCCAGTTGACCAATTTCGGCAAAATCCGTGTTGGTGGTCGCTTATAAGGTCATTCTGTTCTAGGTATGCTATGAGGTGGTTGATTAATAAACGGTCCATAATCTTGCAGAGTATGGAGTTAATTAAAAAGACAAATCATGTACACAAACCTTCTGAGCTATAACTGCCTGGTATACTATCTGGCTCACTAGATTTATTCGCGTCTATACCACGCAAGGTTTCAAGAACCTCTTTATTTGTGAGACGGACTTCCGCTATGGACGTAACGCAGTAATTACAACAAAATACAAACAAGAAGAAGAACCGCAAACCAGTCTGCTTTTTCTATGTATCATGCACTAAGCCATTTTCTTTTACAACGGGTTCGGCAAATTGTTTTTGCCTCGACTGTTTTTGGCGAGGAGAAGTTTATTGCCTCACTACACCGTATATTTATTGTATTGTTTATCTGTTATCTAACAACGAAATCGGCAGGTCTTTTATTATTTCGTCGTTTCTCGAAAACTAACTTTTTGCATCTGTTATGTTATTTCTTGGAGCGGAAAATTTTAACAAGACTCCGCAAAAGTGTACTTAAAATACTTTACTTTCCTGCTTGGAAATATTACTTCAAATACCGTTTAGGGCAAAATAATTATACTTCTTTTGCTCTGAATATTTTTTAGGTTATATATTAAACCGAATAATTTTTTTTATAACTTTATGTAATATATTTATTTTTATATTATTACAATAAAAGTATTAATAAGATAATAAATAAATAAAAATATCCTAAAAGTAGTTTCTTTTGCAGAGAACTATCGAATGGAACGTAAGCGCAGATGTAAAAACGGTATGTAAAGTTTTTTATGAGTTATCAACGAACCATTTTTATTATATCTATCCGTAGAATACTATAATACATACATAATAGAACGGGTGAGTGGGCGGAGCCCGTGTAGCCACTAAAATGTCACTAACATGTCAATTCACACGTACAAATGTCAACACGAGATATGTTTTGACGTTACAATATTTATAAATTACGCATGCAAATTATGTAGAAAATGCCAAATTGCACACTATTTACAAATAAATATGTATTAAAATTTAAACGATTTTTAATGATGATCTTGAACATTAATCAGAAGTCTAAAATGTGTAAATTTACTCAGTCTGTAAACACAGCGAATCGGGTTTGTAGTAGTGATAATACGACGTAATTGCTTGTATGTGTGCTCCCGGCGACACCGATCCTCGTACAAAATAAGGTTGACAGCCATTTTATTGTGTATTATAGTATGCTATGTATTTATCTATATGACTGTCTATAATATGGAAATAACTGACTGTTGAAATGTTGTAAAAATTTTGTCTGTCTGTCTGCCGGTCTGTCCGTGAGCCGAACCATTTGCAACGGACCTTCATGAACAGATAGTGAGCAATGCTGTGTGATCCCGTGTTCCAGGCAATTTTTTTTGAAAAAAAAAGAATACATTTTTTAGAAAATCAAAAAACTGATAAAATAAATTGTCTTTGATAATTCTTCTGATCTTACATCTTAACGCCATATTAATAGATCCCACGCGGGCGAAACCGGACGTGTCGCTAGAATTAATATTACTCCATTTTTAACAAGTCACTAAACAACTAGTCAAAGCAAGCCCTCCAGTTCTCAAAGTTTGATAAACCCTTTTGTAATACAAATTTTTGGACATTTTATTCAGTGTCCTGCAGCGGGCGTCCTTTCATAAACATGAAGCGAACTCATTACGCTGTTACAAAGGGAGTTGGCATATTGAACATGGCTTTGAATCAGACTTTCTCAACAAATTCAGAGAGATTTATCAACACAAAGGATTTAGATATGATATTATAATTACAATTTAAGAATTTTACATAAGTACAATTGAATTAGTACACAACAAAAAAATTTAAATAAAAAACTACATTACTTACTCGTAGTTTTTAATAGCTATATAATAACTATAAAATGTTTTTAATTAAAAGGTTAATTTATTTTTATAAAATTTCCTTATTTATTTCGAAGACACTTACTTCACTTTTACTAAATATAGTAGTTATTTTCTACACACACACACACACACACACACACACACACACACACACACACACACACAACATATATATATATATATATATATATATATATATATATACTGTTATAATTGTTGTAGCAAGAATGGGTCGGTTTCGATAATTTAACCACTTGTCCAAAGACTACTTACTATATTATCCTATGCTGAACTAGTTTAGTATAAAAGTGTAACTTTAACTTTTAGAACCTATTCAGTTGGGGGACACGTTTGAGGACCTTAAGCACAATGCTGAGGTCCTCAAGCGATTCTACTATAAGGGTTATATCGTTGGCAAATTAAAGGAGAGTGATGTACTCGCCCTCCATGTTAATACCGTATCTTTCCAGGCCAGTACCTTAGAAACCTCTTCGAATGCCCAGTGTATTGCTACATTGAAGAGTTTCAGGGATATAACGTCACCCTGTCCTACACCTCTCTGTAGTCGGAACGGTTTCGTACTCTGGTTCTGTACTCAGATAGCCATCGTAGCTCTACTGTACAAAGACTTCAGCACTTCAATATACCGAACTTGGCACCGCTGAAAGGGCTGTAGCACTGCCTAAATTTTGACGGAATCAAAAGCTTTCTCGTAGTTTATATATGCGGAAGTCAAGTGGCGAATTGTACTCTTTAGTTTCCTGTACAGTCTGAAAAAATAAACATTAAAGGTTTTGTAGCGTAAATAAATCAATATCTACACGAATACCTGGCACATACAATCGAAGAAATATGGTGATACATGTGCCTTGACATATGTTATGTACTTACATAGTAATAATATAAATACACGTTTAAAATTAAGGTGTAATTATATTTGTAGCCCGACGAAGACAAGTTGGTGACGTCTGTAGCGATTCCAGCGTTCGACTATAAGTACAACGAAGAGCACAACGACGCTTTCCTGCTAGGAGTGGCTGGTACCGATGTTCCGATCGATAACATAGCGAAGTTGGCACAACCCCACCAGGTAACTATGCCTAAATGCTATAATATAATTGAGAGCAGTAGTTTAAAACATTTTCTTACAATGTCATCTTAATAATTTTTCTTAGATTATGTGTACTTTATTTATCTATCTATCTATATATATATATATAAGATATTTTATATATATTAAATAAAAAAAAATTAAAAACCTCGAAACAAAAAGAACTGACGATCTCCAAAAGGTTGAAAGGATTTTCTTGAACCGTAGCTAAGAACACTATCGATCAAGTTACCTTACAAACAAAAAAAACCTAAGTCGGTTAATTCGATTGGGAGCTACGATCCCACACACAGATACACAAATACACACGTACATATAACAGCCCTCTTTTTCGTCGGGCACACAATGCCACTCTACTAACTTGGTACACGCTATTTTATTATTTACGTGAATTACTTATTTCAATTTTATTTTCACTACATTGTTTTTTTCCCTTTTTCTTTTAATCAAAGTAAGTACCAAAAAAAAGAGTTTTAGGAGATTAAATATTAAAAGTATGATGTTATTAATTTATTTTTTATTTTAATAAGTCCCTTATCTACAATTTTACCACCATTACATAAATAAAAGTGTGAGCATCAGCAGGAGCAGAAGAGGAGCCCAAAAAAAGAAAATTTTTGGGGAAGAAAACAGACCAACCACCCCCGGGAAAAAACCCCCTTGAAAGGGAGGTTGTGCGCAACAACAAGGGACCAACCCCCTTCCATCCCAACAATATTTTATTATTCGGTCCGCATACTTTTCAACCGAACTCTGACACGGAAAACGTGAGCAAGGTGGACAGTGCCTTTTTTTTATAAAACTGCGATTACAAACTAACTTACCATCTATCCACCGGTACAGTTAGTCTACCTGTAAGTGGTTACTGTAATCTATGGACGTCTGCAGCCAACTTCGAACAAGGAAGGCCAAAGATTATAATCGTTAAGCGTTATCATCTCCGAGAACTAAGATGGAACGTCTCAAATTATACTTGCACATATTGAAATATCTAAGATTGTAGTACCTACCCATATAGACTTCTAGAACGAAACGAAGTTCTACGAATACAAACTAAAAAGCACAAGGACGTTCAAAAGCCAACTCGCTTGTCTGTGGCATACCAAGTTTTAGATGCAAACTTTTCTCGCATTGCAAAGACCATAATGGCAACAACAATTCACAAGGGCATCGATAAATTCGAGGTACCGCGTTCAGGAGATCATAATCCTAAGTTTCAGCTTCCGAAAAATGGACCCTAACATTTCTACTGTGTATAGAAATACAATATCTCGGATCAACCTTACTGCCTTATGCCATCTTATTTTTTAGACCAAGTTTAGATTAGGGGGATAAGTCGCTCGCGTCCGTAGGCTTTGACCACCTGTTCCTAGGCCCACCCTACACGTGTCCCCCGGGTGGTGCTAAATGAGCGACAAGCCGATACCACAGACTCGGCTCCACGCCGTGGTAGCGGCGTTAAATATACCACACCATGAGGAATCGAAATAAAGAAATGGCCCCGAGTTCCCGGCGCCCCTTTAATGGGGCAGGAGTGCGAAGAATCTCCGGGAGGAAAACCGTCGACGAGGTTCGCCATTCGTCACGTTCTGTCTCCCGGAGAGGCGAAAAGTGGATTGCAGGGGCCCGTCTGGCTACGTTGAATGTATGTGGGGCAATGAATGATAAAATGGATGAAGTATGCGATATGATGTATAATAGAGGAATAGATGTGTTATGCGTAAATGAGACGAAAAGGAAGGGGAAGAATGTCACTACACATGGCATGTATACCGCATACTGGTCTGGTGTAGACGATATCGAGCGGGCACGCCAGGGAGTAGGTGTCATCCTTTCAGAAAGAATGGGCCAATGTGAAAATGAAAGAGTATGAATGTGTAAGCCCAAGACTGCTATGGATACGAATGAAAGTGGGCCTGAAGAAGTTGTTTGTGTTAGGGGTCTACGCCCCAGACATGTCTAAGCCCACTTATATCCGAGAGCAGTTTTGGGAAATGGTAAGGATGGTGTTAATGAAGTGTAAGGGAAATGAAAATATTATTATGCTAGGAGATTTTAATGGAAGGGTTGGGGTGAGGAGGCTTGGTTATGAAAGGATATTGGGAACGTTTGGTGATGAAGTATAAATGAGAATGGTGAAAGTCTCCTCACCGTATGTATGGAAAAGAATCTTTTTGTGACGAACATTGCTTTCGCCACAAGAGGATTCACATGTATACTTGGGAAAGAGGTGACGATTCAAATTTCATAATTGTGGATGAAAGATTGAGGGGCGCAGTGGTAGATACAGTTTACCGGGGTTCTAACGTAGGAACGGATCATTATTTAGTTTTATGCCGAATTAATGGTCTATTCAGGCGTTGGCGCCATCGATCGTCTGTGTCTACCAGTGCGTTACAGCGTATTAGAACAGAAAGGTTACAAGATGGAAGTGATAAAAACAAGTTCAAATATAGACTGAAAGAAAATATAAGTAGTTTGGATGAATTATATATGAAGGAGTTGGACTTGGAGAATATATGGCAAAATGTAAAGAAAGGTTTAGTGGATGCAGCTACCGAAGTATGTGGTGTTAGTGAGAGAAAGAATGAAAGGAAAATAATACGTAATTATGATACGTATGGAAGTTGAAGCAAAGAAGAGAGCATGGCTAGATTTACTAGCAACAAAGGCTGGTAATTCTGGCGGTACGAATGGTGATATTGAAAGAAAAAAGGCAGTCTTTAGACATATTAATAAGAGAGTAAAAGAAGTAGTTGAAAGAAAAAAGCAAGAAAGAACGGATAAGAATGATAGAAGAATATCGGATAACTTCCAGGCAAATATTAAAATGTTCTGGAAACTTGTAAGAACTGCCAGGGGACATTCAAAACAGCCTATGATGAATGCTATAAGAGACGAGAATGGCTACATTCTGAATGATGAAGTTTTGAGTTTAAAGAGATGGAAGGAATATTTTGAAAGCGTGTTTATGAGTGAGGAGACAACGTGTGTACTAAGTGGAGTAGAAACACCGAAAGAAGAGGAAAGAGGTAGCGAGATACGTATAGATGAAATAATGAAAGCAATGAAAAGCATGAAAGCAGGTAAGGCTGCCGGATATGATAGAGTTTCACTCGAAATGCTAAGGGCTGGAGAGGAAGTGGTGGCAGGCCTGCTGCACACCTTGCTTAATTTATGCTGGGAACTGAAGCGGGTACCGGTAGACTGGTGCAAAGCCGTAATAGTCCCAGTATATAAAGGAAGAGGGTCGCAGCAGGAGTGTAAAAACTACCGTGGCATCAGCCTTCTTAGCATTGTGGGAAAACTGTATGCTAAGGTACTGATTGAAAGGGTCATGAAAAAACTTAAAAATTTGGGATGTGCAAGCGGGATTTAGAAAGGGAATGGGATGTACAGATCAAGTCTTTTCCATGCGCATGATCGCGGAGAAGTTTCTGGCCAAGAACCAGAAGGTTTTTTGTGCGTTCATGGACTTGGAAAAGGCCTATGACAGAGTGGATAGGGATTTGCTATGGCAAACACTGAACTCATTTGGGTTGAGCGCTGGCTTGATACAGGCATTGGAGTCTCTTTATAGGGACTCTAGTGCTTGTGTTAGGATCAACGTGGTCTACTCGGACTGGTTTGACATCCATAAAGGTGTCAGACAGGGCTATGTGGCTTCCCCGTGGCTGTTCAACCTATTTATGGACAGTTGTTTGCAAAATTTGAAAGTTGAAGAATGCGGATTAAGAATGGGTGAGTTAACCGTCAAATGCCTTTTGTACGCCGATGATCAGTTATTCTTGCGTCGTCGGCGGCCGAGTTGCAAAGGATGGTTACATTAATGAACGGATCATTAAAAGAAAGGGGTATGAAAGTGAAAGCAAGTGAGACGAAGGTTATGGTTTTTGAAAGAGAAGAAAGTAAAACGATTTGTGAAATAAGAATAGAAGGTGAGTTGATCGAGCAAGTAGTTGAGTTTGTATATTTGGGCTGCGTATTTAGCAGGGATGGGAAGATATGATAAGGATACAGAACGACGAGTGAATGCGGGAAATAGAGTAAATGGGGCCTTGCACTCTATTGTGAAGAGTCAAAATGTGTCGAAAAAGGCACGTATGGCAATTCACAATGCTGTGTTGGTCCCTACTTTAACGTATGGTAGTGAAAGTTGGGTGTGGCAGAAGAAGCACGAGAGTAGAATAAACGCAGTAGAAATGCGGTCGTTAAGGAGTATGTTAGGGCTGAATCTGAATGACAGGGTAAGGAATTGTGTAATAAGAGAAGAGTGTGGCTTGCAAGATGATGTGGTGACCAGGATCAAGAAAGGAATCGGTGGTTTGGTCATGTGGAAAGAATGAATGAGGAAAGAGTGACAAAGAAAATTTATGGTGCAGAAGTGAATGGCAGAGTCGGAAAGGGACGTCCTAGGCGAAAATTTATCGACCAAATTGGCGATTTATTGAAAACGGGCCAAATTATGAGTACCCTTAACCGACGGGCATGTATGCGTAGGTGTATGGATGTGAAGGAGGCAAGAGAGGTATGTCAGGATCGTGCCAAATGGAAGTCTGTAGTCTCTGCTTACCCCTCTGGGTGACAGGCGTGAGTGTTTATGTTTAGATTACGTAGACATACTAGAGCCACAATCTGGATCATGTATAGCGTTCAAAATTGCGAATAAATGTTGATGAAAACTGCAATAAGAACTACACTCACTATGCGGTAGGCTCGCTCTGCAGCTATGGTACAATTGTATCGAATCGATCGGGGAAGGCCCAGGCTCGCTCAGAATACCAGTGAGTTTTTATGTTGCTGTACAATGCTGCTGTGTTGTCTTTTTTACAGGTATCGTTATGGAATTTCTTCTTTGTCTTTAGGGATAACGAGTTTACATTTTGATTATGAATCGAAGGTTGATGGGCCACAACATCCTATAACTACTGAGTGGACCTGTCGTAGTGTGCTTGTTTATCACCCTTATGTATACAAAAATAACTACTAAGATTCTATAACTCAAGGTCATTGGATAGAAATAAAATATAACTACCATTTCAGCTCGGTGTCAACGGATATTCATTTATTGTGAGCAACAACGGATATCTGCTGCTTCATCCACTATTAATTACATCCGTGAGTAAGCTTACATATTAATAAACAGCCGTGAAAGCGTTCAGGATCACACATGTTGTATATTATTACAGTGTGTATATATATTTTAATTATAATAATGGGTTATTAAAGCGATATAACAAAATTGTTTTACTTTATTTAATGTTTTACATAATACTAACTGTCCAGACAGAGGTTGTTCTACCCGTCCGGACGACCCTTTATCCTATAAAAATCCTTAAATTCGCAATAAAAATATTGAAGGTTACCCACACAATTTATAGTATACAACATTTACAAAATTTCATTAAAACTTAGGTTGGGCGGTTTCAGAGATTAGCGTGAACAAACATCGTGAACATGATATTACGAACACGGCATTTTTATATATTTAAATAATAATAATTGTAAAATTTATTACGTAGTATTAACTGGTGTAATTTTTTGTAGATTAACCGAAATTTACAAACCAACTACAATAGTGTTGACTTCGTTGAAGTGGAGCAGGTAGACGATGGCAAGGGTCCACGGGAGCTCGGCGAAGAAATCAAGTCGCTAAGGGAGCACCTAGTTAATGGTGATGATGGAAACCAAACACAAGTGAAAGTCCTCTTTCACTACGATAATATGAGGTAAGTTACGTACTATTAACGGTAACATTTTGTGACCATCGCTTGGCTTAGTTTAGTTATTTAGTTATATAGTGGTGTGGCGAACGTGGCTGGTTCCCGGACCAGTCTCACAAAATATCAGCGTTAAATTGTTGATTAAGGTGGGTTTTGGGGGCGGGGACCAACACCCTCCCCATTTGGTAGAGAGACATGTCGCCCCGCCCAAAAGAAAAAAAGAGCAAGATCATGGCACCTGAGCAGATAGTTCCTTCTCCTTTTCTTCTTTTAGGCTCGTAAAGTCTACAGCTGGACGTGGTTCTCTCCCATCAATCCTTCATCGTTTCACAGGCGGATTAGTGATCCTAGTATCACGTTTTGCACGTCCAACACCACTTAAGCGTTCTGCAAAAATATACAAAGCATAGCTGTAAAAATATGGAAGGATTAAGATACTATAATTTGACTTGCGACGCTTTAAGTGACCGTAACAATCGACCATCGACTTTCTACATGTCGTAACTTTATCTAATGTAGGGCCGCCCTACACTTTGCTTTGTTGTCGGTTCTTTGAGCTATATGGTCCAAAGATTTAAGTAGTTAGATGCGCCCTTACCATAATATGACCACTCCGAAATGTGTCCATTCTCAAAAGAGTGAGCTCACTCGTTCGCAATCAGTGCTCGATTGTGCGACAGAGAAAGTAGTATACACAATTTCTGTAAGATAATAAGAGATGACACTATTGCATTAGTGTGCGCACGTCGGCGTCTTGCAAACGAACACATCCTAAAATAATGCCACAGTTTTCAAGGTGAAGGCGCATCTAACTCTTTAAACTTTGATATGGTCAGCCTATTAAAACTTTAGGCTACTGACCTGTTGGCTGGCATTTCTAGGGGAGGTTTATGTTCATCAGTGGACTTGTGATGATTTGTAATGATGTTGAATATTTATGCAAATCATTGTAATACGTAACAATATACTTTTGCATTTTATACATGGTAGAGTCACGCAGCTTTATTATGGTCGTCTCGGCTAGGGCAGGACCAAGCTCTCACAGAATACCAGTATAAAATAGCGGCGTAATGCTGCTGTGTTTTGTATGGTGAGTGTAGAGAACCGGAGATCCTTTATACTGGAAACGAGGCATTCCATCTTAGTCCTCATGGGTGACAACGCATCTGCATTTTGATTTTTATTCGAGGATAAATCAGATGTGTATGAGCCGCACATTATTCACTTACCATTACGTCGATTGTGTGCTCGTTTGTGATCCTTATTCTAAATTCAGAAAACACTTCGATTTTTTTTATCTTAATATATTTTCTCACAGGAGGATAGCTCGAGTTAAACACGACTATTTTTTTAACAAACTTGTGGGAACTCCATTTTCTATGGGCATCTCGTTACCCGGAGGTTACGGTGACACCGAGCTTCTGCTTAAAGACAATCCTATTGAAGCAAAACAGGGTTTGGAAGTGACCGGGGTCAACGTAACTAGCTATTTCAACTTCAGCTACAGGGTTCATCCTGATTGGTGAGTATTAAAAATATAAAAGAAACACTGCCGTTATTTGAAGTATTACGAGGAGCCGTGGTAGCTTAAGGGATAGGGGTTCACTTATATTTTTTCATAATACGCGAGTAAACTAAGTTCGAACCCAGCTGGCATCAATGTACATAGTTGTTAATTGTTATTTTCGAGTGCTTATTTATTACATGGTCATATAGAAAAAATGAACGAGTAAGGTGTGAGAAAGCAAATCTATGTTGCAGAAGTGGACGGCAGAGGCGGGAAGGGACACCCTAGGTGAAAGATTGGCGACCATTGACGATATATTTATTAAATATGGGCAGAATTAAGAGTACCCTTAACTGACGAGCATGTATGCAAAGGTATATGGATGTGGAAGAGGCGAGAGAGGTGTGTCAGGATCGTGCCAAATAGAAGTCCGTAGTCCTACCTCTCTAGGGTGACAGGCATGCGTGTTTATGATATAATATGGTATTACGATTTACTAAATACAAGGCGGTGAATAAAAATTGAGGAACATTTTACAAGATTTAAATAAATGGTACTGGTACACCAGGCTACACGCATTGTGGTGGTGTAGCAGCCTTTTTTGTCCTTGTTAGTCATATAAGGGTTTCTCTTTAACTTCTACCTTATGTGGATCACCTCGTTGAATCCCAGGTCGGTCCAAATAAAATCGGTCTGGGTTTTTCTGTCAAAAAATTCTCAGAAGCAACTAGAAATCAGAACTTTGTCGGATTGCAGCCCCATCGGGGTGGTAAATAAGAGACCACCTGCTTACGTACACATACACTCTAGCACTATAATCCTGTCTAGAATAAATGGCTAATCTTTGCTGAGACTGGCCACCGTGACCGAAAATTTGGTCTGGGGTAGTGGATTGCGTGGGATAAGTATGTAGTTTCACTCTCACACGGCAAGGTTGTTACTCGGATCGCGACAGAAAACTTAACAAAAGATTTTATCTGGGTGCGAGTGACAACGCATCTGCATTTTGATTCTTAATGGAGGATAGGTGTAGGTGTATATTGATTTCAGAATCCACTTGTCATCGGGTGTTCTTTGTGCTCGCTTTGATCATTCAAAAACTGTCGTCACTGCGGCCGAAATAAGATAGAAGGCGTCGTTATTACTTTCTAACCAAGGATGTCCTAACTGATTGATTAATTAATAGAGCCAGTGTTTTCCGCAACTCCACGACTAAGCGAGTTTTAGAAGACTATTAAAAACGTACAGTAGCACAATACCGCGGATTCTATTCCCGTATTAAACAAGTATGACTAACAAACAACAATTTTGCGTGGATGATTTGTTCAAGCGTAATCCTTTTTTCTCATAATTTATAATTTTTCTACAAGTATTCTTATTTTCAGGGTGTACTGTAAGTATCACTATCTAGAGGGCCACGAGTCAGAGAATGCTGAGATAGAAATGTTCAAGTTCTTAGTTAATATTTCAAAGAACGAGCTCAACATAACGAAGAAACAATATCGGGATGAGTTCGAGAGCACAACGTTTGATTTTGATAGTGAGTTTGCTATGTAATATTGTTTACCACTTGCTCGGCGGTGAAGGAAAACATCGTGAGGAAACGAGGAGGTGAAGGAAAGCATGTCTGAGAAAGAAGGAAAAAAAATCAAAGACATGTGAAGTTCGCCAACACGCATTGGGGCAGTGCGGCGGTCACTTCCTTTCCCTAAAACCCTCTCAGAAATAAGGGGAGGCCTGTGCCAAGCAGTGGGACGTATATAGGCTGTGACTTTAATTTTAACTTTTAACTTCATTTCTTACACGAAGATCATCACCGTAAACATTTTCTTAAACATTCATTTTTTAGGATTTTTTATACTTAGTACTTAGAATAACAACTACAAACCCACGTGGTGGTGACTGGTGATGAAGCCATAGATAGTAAAACGCATTTAAGCAGAGCAGATAGTTCCTTCTCCTTTTCTTCTTTCAGGCTCGTAAAGTCTACAGCTGGACGTGGTTCTCTCCCATTAATACTTCATCGTTTGACAGGCGGATTAGTGATCCTAATATCACGTTTTGCACGTCCAACACCACTTAAGCGTTCTGCAAAAATATACAAAGCATAGCTGTAAAAATATGGAAGGATTAAGATACTTTAATTTGACTTGCGACGCTTTAAGTGACGTGAAAAAAAAAACAATGTTTAGCATCGACTTTTTATACTTAGTACTTAGAATAACAACTACAAACCCACCTGGTGGTGACTGGTGATGAAGCCATAGATAGTAAAATGCATTTAATTATAGTTTATAGCAATAAAATTCTTGATAACGACGCTTACAAAATGTATCAACTGATATATGACATACTGGACGGACGGGCTCGCGAGCATAGTCTGCACTTTCATGCTGCTATCTAGCAGACGGTGCATGCTCCGACTACAAGCCCAATAACACTGGCGTTCCACAAGGCTGCGTGCTATCACCACCGCTGTTTCTTCTGCATATCAATGAGATGTTGCAAACCGGTAACATTCATTGCTATGCAGACGACAGCACTGGTGATACTTTATACACCGGCCGTGCTAATATTTCTCGGTGAAAACGTTGCTAAGTACCGGGACAAACTTGTGTCTGAAGTCGAAACTATTTTGAACAAAGTCTCAGACTAAGGGCGACTAAATCTAGTCCAGTTTGATCCCCAGAAGACACAAGTTTGCGCGTTTAGCGCTAAAAAACCCTTCGTCGTATCTCCTTAGTTTTAAGGCACTCCCCTTTTTGCCTCAGCCAGTTTCGAAATCCTCAGCGTCGACATATCAAGTGACGTGCAGTTTCGTGGTCACTTGGAAGAGGAGGCCAAATTGGCCTCTAAAAAGCTTGGCGTGCTCAGCAGAGCGGGACAGTATTTCATGCCGGCTCACCGCCTGCAACTTTATAAGGTGCAGGCTCGGCCGCACATGGAATACTGTTCCCATCTCTGGGCCGAGGCTCCCCAGTGCCAGCTCCTTCCATTTGATCGCATCCAGCGCAAAGCAGTCCGAATCGTCGGCGACCAAGCTCTTTCCTATCGGCTTGACTCACTGGCAGTGCGAAGAGATTTTGCGCATTTTGTCGCATCTATCACGGGAGTGCTCTGAGGAATTGTTCAGACTGATTCCAGCCGCACAATTTCACCATCGCACATCGCGACAAAACTTGCGATACCATCCATACCATCTGGATGAATGGCAGTCCAACACCGTGCAATTTAAAAGAAGTTTTCTTCCTCGCACAACTTCCTTGTGGAATCGACTACCGCCAGAGATGTTTCCGGACCGATACGACTTAGGGACCTTCAAGAAAAGAGCTCACTCCTTTTTAAAAGGCCGGCAATGCATCTGCAATTCCCCTGGTGTTGCAGCGGTGGTATTCAATTACCATCAGGTGAGCCGTGTGCTCGTTTGCCCCCTCTCCTATAAAAAAGTGTACTGATGAGGTTGGCATTTTCTACATTTCTACATGTTCTTTTTTATATAAAAGGGCGCAAATGAGCTGGCGTCTGATCTGATGGTAATTGACTACCGCCGGTCATGAACAACTGCAACACCACATGAATTGTGGTTACACAAGTGCGTTAACGGCCTTTTCAAAAATAGTAGACTCTTTTCTTGAAGGTCCCTAAGTCGTATCGGTCCGGAAAAATCGCTAGTGGTAGCCGATCCCACAAGAAAGTTGTGCGAGGTATAAAACTTCTGGTATATCACACAGTGGTGGAACGCCAATCATCCAGATGGATATCCCGAGTCTTGTCGCGAAGTGCATTGGTGGAATTTAGCTGCTGTGATATTATTACTACAAAATTCCTTTGAGCACTCCTCGTGGGAGATGTGTTCTTCTAATACAAACGTTTTGAACCTAATATGGCAATGATGAAATATAATTGCCGTTCCCAGGTGGAGGTAGACGCAGTTCCGTTTTGCTCAAAAGACACATGTATTCGTATGAGCCTAACGTCTCCGAACTCACAAAAGTTTTTCTCACCAAGGAGCTTATTGTACATTGTGTCTTTGTCATTAAATAAAAGTACATTTCGGACGCCTCGGTAACTTAATGGCTAATCGCTTGGCTGTAGCGTTGTAGGACTGCGGGTTCGAATCCCTTACAGTCCTTTACAGCCTACAAATTATTGTTCGGAGTATGGAAGTTTGTCCATATGTGATATTCAATAATCTATATATGTAAAACCCCTTCATGATACAGATAAAAATTTTAGTGAGGCAATATTGTTTTAAATAAAATAATGAAAGGAGTTTGGATGTATTCCGTAGTTTTAACATTACTTTCTAAAGATCTCTACGTTTGGTTTGGGAGTTCTTGGTCACTGACCTCTATATATACAAGTACGATTATAGCTATATAAAGGTGTATAAAGGTCAGTGTTCTTGGTAGACATGTCCAACGCATTCTAAGTATGGAGTGTAAAAGTAAGGAGTACCCAACTCCCATAGTAGAATAGTTGAAAAAGTGGTCATCTGTAAGCAGTAAATAACAGTTCAAAAACTCTCCACAACAGCGCTGGAGTAGCTACTGGGATGAAGCATTTTGAAAACATGAAGCAGTTGTCGACGGTTTGAAGTGTGCTGCTAAACTGCTCAGTAGTTCTAAAATAATTTTATTTAGTAAATATAACCTCAAAAAAGTCGTCCATCCCACTAATATTTTTCGGCACATTCTTTAAAATTTAGCCCGTAGCTATAGTGGCGCCACCTTTATTTAACGGTTTTCTATGGTCGCTTTTTAATACACAGTCTGTACTCCTTACTTCTACACTCCATAATTCTAAGACATCTTTTAATAACTAGCGCAATACTAGTAAATTCTCTTACAATGAAAGAATAACATGGGTGTAGATATAGATGTCACTGTGTTAAAGAAATACTTCATTGGGAACTGTACGTATTCAGGTTCCCCTCAGTTTATATATATTTTGTATGTATCAAAAGATGGCGCTGTAATATATATCAAGAGGACATCATTAACTTACGCAACAACGTGTGAATATTACACCAGATTTAATCTGATTACACGGATACTTGATAACTACATTTTATCAGAATTTATCCGGAGGTTTTTTTATTTGAGATGATTTTCCGAATGGTCCTTCATTAGAGTGTGAAATGTCACTCGGATCACTTTTCCATTGCAGGGAACGTTCGACGATCTTAATTTGTTTCGCTTTCTTGTATATTCTTTGATTACATTTTAAAGATATTGTCCATTCTTTCTTCTTCCACTCATTCTACAACTTCTGTATCAGCCCTTTAAAGTAGAATTTGTTTATCGATAGGCTTGTCAGAGCGAATTGATATTTAAATATGTATGTATGTATGTGTGTGTATAAGTGTATATATGTATAAACTAACATATACATAATATTATATAATACGTTTTGAATAGTATGTATAAATAAGTTAGCTTTTTTTCTCTCGTGGCTCTACCCATAGCTCTCACCACACTACAAAAGGTTAACTGGCAGAGAATGCCTTTTCGGCATTAAGTTCGCCTTTGTACCAAATTGTTTTGTTTGATCAAAAAAATCATCATAATGCAGTAACCGCCTCAGGAACAGATGGGAAGAGCAGTCACTGTGCAAGACATCCTTGGGACGAAATGCGATGATGGATATTCTTACACTGCCACCACACGGTAACTGATTTTAACTATCATCTCTTCCCACTGTCATCAGTCGGTCTCTTCCATAGTAGGAAGATGTTTGCATTTAATTCCACGTTTCCTCTTTTTTATAGGATAAGGTGACAAACGAGTACACCATACACCTGATGGTAAGTGGATGATGTGGCCCATACAAACACAGACATGCAATCACCGTACTAGGAATCTCGGTAGTCTTGAAACCTTAGAGTAAACATAAGCAATTCTAAGCTACTCTAAGCTACGTTGCCTGTTTGCGAATTTAAGACCTGGTATAAATAAGCCATCTATTGAAACCATAAAATTCTTTCAATATTTCTTTATGACAACCAAAGAAATAAAATGCATAAAGAATTTCATTGTACCGTCACACATTAGCTTTAAATTTCAGAACACTGCGGAGACGAAAGGGAGCAACTTGGCAAAGATGACTACTACTGTAACGAAGATTTGGTTAAACAGTTGGTTTTTGACGCCAAGTTGACGACACCATACTTTTTAACGTGGCACGCTAGCGAAGAAGAGAGGAAACTGGCCAACGAGTACAAAGTCAGCGTCCGCTTTATAGCGACGTCAAGTGGACTTACTCGGTGGCACTATATCAACGACGACTCGAAGAATGAGAAAGTCACAGAGCAAGGGGAGAAAATCAAAGATTTTGATGGCGAGCAAGTATAATTGTATTTTAAAGCTGTCCCATCAGTATTCAATAGCCTACATTCAAAAGCATACATGCAATTAGCCTGAAAAAAGTACACGCAGGGTAATTTAATATAAACGGTCCCAATAGAAAATGTGATTTATTTAATGTGTTAGGTTCAGTTCACACCGAGACGTGAACCTAAACAACGCGACCTGCACTTTTTAAGATAGTGATACAAAATATATATGTTTATTTACTACACAAAAGTATACACATTTTATTGAGATAATTCGGAAATGCCTCGCGGCGTAGGACGAAGTCGCGTGACGAAGCGAGACGCAGCCTGAAGCTGTAGTGGCGACTTTTCTCTACTACCTATTACTATTAGGCGTCGCTCTACCAGCGACTACACGATGCGCCACGCCACGTGGCGATGCGTCTCGCGACGGCAAGGTACGCGGTGCGAAACCACTGGCCTCTTCAAACATCGCCACGTCACAAGGGTTAGTTCACACAGAGATGCGCTGTGTGAACTAAGGCCTTAGGCTTGACCAATGTTTTAATTGAGTGCTATTTCCACGTGCCCGGTGGTAATAGAAAACTACGTCAGGTAACTTTTATTACTAATATAATAAACCAATATAATAAATCGAACGTGTGCATTCTGTCTACACGTACTGGAAAAGCGCGGTTTACCATAACCCTATCAGAAACGAGAGGAGTACAAGTATTTATAATGTTTACTTTACTTTACTTTTGACTTTAACTTTTGACTGAGTACTTAACGTAAAATTTACGGCCAGATTTTCTGAATTGCCACAGCTCTTGACTTTTATAATTAAAAATATATTCATATAATTCTTAAAGTATAAAAAAGATAAACAAATAAAAAATATATTCTTAAAGTAGTAAATAAACAAATAAACTACATTAGAATCACATTACATAATATCAAGTTTGCATTTTTTGCAAAATTTGGCCAAATTACGCATGTTGGTCAAGAATGTTGTTATGTACAGAGGCGATACCGGTCGGTAGTATCCTAGTTTTATCTTCCCATCACCACTGTTTTAATTGTAGGCTTAGCTTTTCGGTTGGGAGATCCTACATCAGTCAGTCGAAAAGACCATCGATCAGCAGGTTGTATCGCAGATGAGCCTTACATTATTATTTATGGTAAGAAGAATCAACTGTTTTCACGACCCTCATTACAGTGATTCCCTGGAGTTTTAATTATATTGTTGACATCCTCAGGAACAATGTGTGTGTGTATTACAAAGATGTGATTGTGAAAGTATTTAGAAAAGTAACCAAAGTAATACTTAAAGCATAAAAAATACTAATAATACATTAACCGGTTCTATTTTTTATTTAAGGATAACGTAACAAACTATACTTAATAAAAATAAAACCAAGTTATTATTACATTATTTATTTATGTTATATTTGATAGTGTTATCATTCTTAAAACAAAAGGCATTTTAAAATCTCCTAATTACAGAGTGTTTGGTGACCTTTACCCGAGAGCAATCGAAGAGACTTGGTACAAAGCGGCAGTGCTGCAACACCTTATCAACAAGGAGTCATTAGTAGTGGCTACTAAGTTACCCGTATTGGACAAGACTATCATTAACAAACCGCCTGTTGTGGATGAGAGCGGCGACATCACTTTCACAGCCAGCAACGCCATATTTTATAAAGACGGCAACTCTGAAACACCGGCGTCAGTAGTTGGCTTCCAGTTCGTTTATTCTGGCTTCTACAAGAAGTTCTTAGAGATTACGAGCACTAGGGATGTTAGTGAACCCTTTTTTCTATTACTACAGTAGTTCTTACCTTATAAGTTCATTTATTAAAAAGGTGTTAATTTTGTTTAATTCAGTAAAAGCAAAATTAATCATAGAAATTAATTTTCTCGAGAACACGGTGTCTTTTGCAATGAGTTTCAGCCATTACATACAGCATGTCAGCAATTTTTTTATAGGACATGGTGACAAACGAGCACACAGTCCACCTGATGGTAAGTGGTTGCTGTGGCCCATAGACATCTACATCTATCCTCGATTACTAATCACAATGCAGTTGCGTTGTCACCCGTAAGGACTAAGATGGAATGCCTCTTTTCCAGTGCAAAAGGGTCTCCGGTTCTTTACACTCACCATACAAAACACAGCAGCATATTTTACGCTGGTCTTCTATGAGAACGTGGTCCTTCCCCGGTCGAGCCGACCCATTCGTGCTACAACTATACTACTATATAACTGCAGCATGGCTCTACCAAGTATTTATTCGTACTTTAGTTAATGTTTTTAGTTTTGAATGAAACGTGAAAATAATTACAAACACATAAATATTACAAACGTGAGGTGAAATTAAACGAAATTATAAAAAAGGTCGAACGAAATACCTACGACGCAAACAATGCACTTAACCAATTTTTTGTAACTTCTTTTATCTAATCTAAAAATGTTTAAATATAGTACGTGAGGGTAATATGGTCATCCAGTTAATATTGTCACTTTCTCGAGACTAAAAAACTACAGTTTCAAAAACTGCACGGGTGGCTCTGTGATAGGATAGTTCTTCATCAATCAATCAAATAATAAAGGGTCAAAAGAGCGATGCTTTATCGATGCCATTTTGAAAGTTTGCATTATAGTAGATATTTTAGTCGATTTTAGTATGGTGTAGTACTTAGTTTCTTTTAAGTAGATTTTTCGAAGAGTTCTAAACAATGATATTATAAGTACCTCTTATTCTTACAATATCATTGGTTCTAAATTATTGCCGTAACTTATTTGCTATATTTTTCCATATACAATATTAAGTATAATATACGACTTTGTGTTTTGTCTCTATCTTTCTCCTAGTTTAGGTTTTATACGGCGTCAAAGCTAATAGTTACCATATTATCCTCACATAGGTACCTTACAAGACGTATTTTTGGTAGGTTATTTTACTGTGTTATTTGACGCTCTATGTTTTTATAACGACGTTGTTTTCCAGGACTTCTCTTGCAAGGACGAAACGTACGATTGTTACATTATTGATAGCTCTGGCTACATAGTTTTAGCAAGAGACAAATTTGATGTCGGAAAATTTTTCGGCGCTGTCCATCCGCATATAATACAATCTTTTATAGATAAAAATATATATGAGCACGTAGAAGTATTTAACTATCAAGCACTCTGTCCTGTGTCTGTTTTACCTAATGTTGAAAGCAACGCATGGATCTTTAATACGGTATGTATACTTTTTTCAACACGCTTTTATTAGCTTCGCGTGGATCTATGTAATAGACATGTGTCAATCATTCATTTCTCGTGACCGAATCATTCTAGTACATTTTGTCACGCGTACCGGAACATTCAGATCGATTATTCAATTGCATCATTTCGGGCTTCAGTACCCTACAGTAAAAACAATTAAATCAGATCATTCGGGATTCGGTCGGTTTTCGACTCATTTACAATTCACACCAATTAGGAGTTAAAAAGGTTCCGTCAATTGTTTGTGATTGGTTGTACAAGAACATTCAAAAACAGATGAATGAACCATCAATACTTTTAGGGTGTATGAATTATTCATGATGGACACATGTCTACTACGTAACAGGATCTTCAAATTTAATTTTCGCCAACTTGAAGACGACTGATCTTAGGTCTGTAGGTCGATCGACTTGAATTGCATTCGTATCAATGATAGATAATTCTATCTAGAATCATCACTCATGACTAATGCGTGATTTTAAAGGTTTCTTAAATTTTAATATTATTCGCGAATATTAATTTGAGTTTCTATTCTTTGTGTTTAATTAGATTGTGGTAATAGCTTTAATACTCGTAACAGACACTTTATAAACAAACTCGAGTATTTGATATAATTATAACAATAATGTATCTATTTATGCAGCCTTTCAACACACTGACCAACTTTGTGCGATGGGTGATAGCCGAATGGGTAATACTAATGTTTGATGTCATAAATAGCCAGGAAAAAACGTTGCTAGTGAAGAAGAAGGTTAGTCTTATATTAAATAAAAACATTTATTTATCAGCGAATTTTGTAAACTCAACTTTATTTTATAGTAAAAATATACTTTACTATAAAACAAAGATTATACTGCTGAACATAGGCCTCCTGTCCTGAGCTGCCTGCATCCATCGACTTCCTGCTTGTCTTACCAGATGATGGAGGGGGGGGGGCTACCAGTAACAGCCGCCGCTCATGAACCTTTGTCCCTCAGCGGTTGTTGGTTGTTCAAGCTACGCGGCCGGTCCATTGTCCCTTCAGCGCATTAATCAGTTGGGCTTTATCGGTTACTCTGGTTCTACTGCAGATATTATCTTCGTTTTAAGTCTATGAAATATGAGATATGTGTTGCGCCAAAGTATGGTATAGTGAGTTCTCTGAATTGAATATATTTGTATATATAAGATAAACGAAACAGGAGATGGGTAACACCAGCATGCTGATAACGACTCGTGTGGCTACCATGACAAGTACCCTCCTGAGGTAGTCTAAAGGGGAGACCTCTGTTCAAGTGGACTTTTGAAGGGCTTTAATGAATTAAGGAAAAAAACAATATTTTGGACTATAAAAAATTAAAAATGCGGCAGCATTACTAATAAGTACCGGCTCTGAACTTAATTCACACCAGCAGATTCCCTCCCACCGCCACCTCTATTTCGGATATGCTGAGACCTCTTACCGAAAGAATTAAGCTACTTTGTGGGTTCGAATCCGCCAATCGGCATCTGTCACGAACCATTCCTAACAAGCATTTTAAGCTTACTTATAGTAAGTTACGTAACGGTAATATGGTCACCTTAAGATAAGCCGCTCTATAAAACCAAAACTAGGATGTGGGCAGAGACAAAAACACAAAATCGGATATTATAACTAATATATTAGGACAAAAATAGCAAACAAGCTTTGGCAATAATTAGAAGCACTTCGAAAAATCTACCTAAAGGAACTAATTACACTACACCATACTAAATTCGACTAAAAGACTATAATTTCCACTGTCAAAATGGCGTCAATAAACCAGCGCCCTTTTGACTTTTTATTATTTGATTGACCGATGAAGAACTATCGTATCACAAAGCCATGGTGGAGCCATGCTGCAGTTGTATTGGTAGTATAGTTGTAGCACGAATGGGTCGGCTCGGCCGGGGAAGGACCACGCTCTCACAGAATACCAGCGTGAAATAGTAGCTTAATGCTGATGTGTTTCGTATGGTGAGTGTAGAGAACCGGAGACTCTTTTTACTGGAAACGAGGCATTCCATCCTAGTCCTCACGGATGACAACGCATCTGCATTTTGATTCGTAATCGAGGATGGATGTAGATGTCTATGGGCCACAGCAACCACTTACCATCAGGTGGACGAACTGTTCTCGCCCCCAAATGTGTGCTCGTTTGTCACCCTATTGCAAAAAAGGCTGTAGTTTTTGAGATATAAAGATGTGACCATATAAACCGGATGACCATACTACCCTCACGTACTATAGTTACTGAAATATAATAATAATAATGTCCTCCAGACCGAATTTCGGCCACGGCGGCCTGCCTCAACGGAGGCTAGCCATCGGCGCAGGACAGGATTATAGTGCCCAAGCGTATGCGCAAGGACAGGTGCACTCTCTATTTCTTCACTCTCGTAATCCGATGGGACGGTAAACCGACACGACCGGAGAGAGATCAGGCGTAGGACCAACGGCTTTACGTGCTCTCCGAGGCACGGGTACTGACTACTGAAATACTAACTACTGAAATATAAGTAGTGTTAAAAGCATGAAAAAGCTAATTACAGCCTTGTTATACCGCAGACACTACGATCCCGCCTATTTTACAAAACGATACCGCTGAAACTAAGAACAAGGACGACAACAGCCTATTTTCATGTGATCATCGCATCAGTCTGTACATTCTTAACCAGTCCTACTTCTTGGACTCTATGGGACCGTCACCGGCGGTGATGGAAGATGAGGAGGGAGACTGCCATCCGCCGTATTGGGCTTCATTGATGACGAAGACAAACTTACTGCTAGTTGTTGTGGAACGGGGACCTTGGCACTTTAAAGACAGTTGCAAGGTACCGCCCGACACCGAACCAGTCGCAACTACGAACTCCACGACCAGCCGGGAGCCGTGCCACAAGTTAGAGTTGGGCCAGCTACCGCGACGACGGCTTGAAGACTGTTTCACTTACCACGAAAAGGTATTAAATTATGATTTCTTATATTTACGCGAACACTACACATTGATTAAAACTACTTTTATGGATTTTATCGCGTATAACTTTAATTGGTTTTTAATGCTCTAATGGAAGTCTGCAGTTTGTGATCATATCTTAGGCGGCCCCCAATTATTACATCAAATTTGATAGACCACAAATACTCGCGAAAGAACATCGAGTCCTACCAAGGACGATACGTGAGGCTATTGAAATTAAAAAAACATCATAATTTCAATAGAGAAGGAGGCTGGGTACTACCACCTGCTTGGGACTCTGTAATTAATAAAATTAAAATTAAATCCAAGCATACCACTGCAATACTTCAAGACATAGTAAGTTCATTCTGCATAGATCGGACCATAAACAATAATTAAAAAGCTGAAGGTACTCCGGGTTAACATTGACATCGGGACGTCAGTCACCTCAGTCCCCCGTGACGTCGGGAATTAAAAACCAATTAAAATTAAATGTGATAAAATCCGTAAAAGTAGTTTTAATCAAGGTATTAAATTGGTGCAGTATTCTGGTTATTATTTATTGTAAAAATGTTCTTTGATAGAACTCTGGATGTCACTAAAAGGTTAATTATACATGTTAATGTAACCTAGTTATATTCATAGTATGACAGTGTAGTGGCGGTGTAGGAATATCCACTACGCCAAATCGTCGCGTGGGTGTCGTAATAGTCGTAATAGACGACAGAGGGAAGAAGCCAAGAGATGGGCAGCAGCGTCTTCCTTATAGCAACTAGAAAATAAACAATTGCGGTTGCCAACCCGCTTGCCAAGCGAGGCAACCGTGGCATATATCCCCCCCATAAGGCAATCTATAGGGGAGCTTAAGGGTCACAGCTCATTAGAGCCACCCGGCACCCGACCCTCACCGCCTCGTCACAAGCGTCCACAGTATCGTCCATAGTCGACAGGTGGACCACGGGTGGACGCTGCGTGGTCATCGAGTGGACCTCGCGTCGTCAACGAGTTGATCTCGCGTGATAAACGAGTGACCCTTAAATCGTGCAATAAATTATACTTCCGAACTTCTTCTATAAGTTTTTCTTTGTTCATTTTAAAAACAAACAACAATGCGTCCGACACATTCGAAAGAAAGTTTCGAAATGGAGGGTTGGTGGAGAGCGCCGCATTGCACTCGCGTGAACCGCGCGTAGCCAGCTCGCGCTTCACGCGAGGCAAGCATTCAATCAACGAGCTATCATCCACTCACAGTCCGAGCGTGGACACCTCGCGACCGAGGTGATCGGTGATGGTACGGAGTTGATGTAGTGAGCGCATTCCCATACAAATCCATACGAAGAATATGAACCGCTCAAGGCGAGGCTGTGAGGGTCAGGTGCCGGGTGGCTCTAATGAGCTGTGACCCTTATACACAGTGAACTTTAATAGGCTGTAACGGCATATTTTTTGGTGTTTTGTGAGATAAAAACACGACTTAGGTATACTTCATGGAAGAGCCTACTCTTTGCTAAAAGAGCGCCAACGCACCTGCGATTCCTCAGGTGTAACAGATGGATCATAGGCGGCGTCGGTCGCAAAAAATACATATCTACGAGACTAGTTGAAACCTACCCACTAACCATTATTTCAAATATTATGTCGCTTTCATTCGATGTTTGATGTATTAAATATATGCCGTTTTCTTGTAGAATAAGGGTGTGAATCGAGCAAATTGACCACCTGATGGTAAGTGGTTGCTGTAGCCCACAGACATCTACATTTAACCCTGATTCAAAATGCAGATTCGTTGTCACCTCTGAGGAATTCAGTAAAGTCAATTTCAGTGGTAACAACGCATCGTTGTAACAACAATCATTTTAATTCTTAAGTAAGGATAAATGTAGATATCTATGGGCCACAGCATCTACTTAATCGCTCGTTTCTCACCCTTATTCTATAAAAAAAAAGTATACGCAAATAAAAATAATAATTCTTCTCGTAATATTTATTGGCAAACATTACTTTTACACTTTTGAGATTAATCGATCTTGTGACATGTGACACGTGTAACAGATGTCTACATATTTCCATAAAAATCTTCACCCCTAATAAGCCTATAATTTTCATAATCATAATCATAATTTATTTGCAGAAAACATGGTACATTACAGGTTGATAAATTATTTAAGTCCAGCATGTTTTGTCAAGAATTAAGGAGTGTTGACGTACAAATATTTATATAATACATTAATTACATTTTCACAACTAATAAATTAATAACATATTTTCAAAATCATCATAATAATTTTATTACATTTAATTTAATTAAAATAATATGATAGTAGTTACTTAATTCATTTTAATATCGATTCCTAATCCTAATCACAAATCTATTTAAATATTATTCAACAGAGTAGAAGCATTGCTCCTCAAGCCATTGTTTGACAATACTGCGAAAACATACCTTTGGGAGTGATTGAAACTCTGTAGGCAGTGCATTGAAAATTTTTATACACATAGCTGAACAATTTTTCCTATAGAGGCTAGTGCTTGGCATTACACTATGTGTCAATCTTTCAGTATGCCTCAAGTTTCTCTGTGCAGTGTTTCTTAGCTTTGTGAATAAAAGTGTATTATTTTTAACAAAACGACCCAAATTTAGGATGTACATACATGGCAGCGTCAAAATGTGTAATTTTTTAAAATACGGTTTACACAATGAATCTGGTGCCAAACCATTCATAGCTCGAATACATTTCTTTTGGGCTGTAAAGGCTTTAATAGCATCTGTACTACATTTTTGTCTCCCAATTTATATTATTAATAATAATAATAGTAATAATTTATTTTTCTCTCTACATTAAATTAACAATATCGAATTTTAACAAAAAAAAGGCAGAAATTAATGTGAGAGACTGATGCCTAAACTAGGCGACGAACCTGTATTACAGGTCATCAGGTCTCCCTCCGTTAAACAAATACAAAAGTATGTTATCTTGGAATACATATTTTAACAATAATGATACGTTATAATCCATTTGCGCGTATATACATAATTTAACAATAATGCTACGCGCGTGTGTGTGTGTGTGTGTGTGTGTGTGTGTGTGTGTGTGTGTGTGGTGTGCGTGTGCGTGTGCGTGTGCGTGTGCGTGTGCGTGTGCGTGTGCGTGTGCTGAGTGAATGCAAAAATTACAACATTTACACATGTGATGTAAAAAGATCTTCCGTATATTTATAGTCCGTCTTCAGTAACCATTCATGGATACATTTTTTAGCTTTTATTTTAGGTAGGAAGTGAATATTAAGTTCCTTGTTAACTTTATTATACAGGTATCCGCCAAGATAGCAAAAAAATCTTCTGGAAAAGTAGGTACAATGGTCATAATGAGAAGTACACACTCGGTCTTTGCTTTTTCTTTGCATATTGGACTACCCCATAGAGACTCGGAATATAACCACTAGAGAGCGTATAGGCAGATTTCCTCTAAGCACACGAATCACTACTGCTGGCCGGGGGATGAGGAAGAACGCGCGGCTGCAAATGGTCTAGTTGCGTTGTTATGGCTATCGTTAGGGTTGCTCCTCTTAATAAAAGAAAATATTCGATATCGATGAAATGGATTTAAAAAAAATCATACAAATAATATTTCATCAATTACAACGATAAACATGTATTTATTATATTATTTATTATTGATTTTCAAAATGAATTAATTTGGTATATATTTTTCGAATTAAAGTTTAAGGGTCCTGATTGTTGTTTGTAAAAAATTATAAACAAGCGTGTTTATATAGATTTTTGGACTACCCCTTTAAATTTAACCTATTCAATAAAAAAAAACATTTAAATCGATTCGTCGAAACTTTAAGTCGAATTGAAAACTACCAGGGTAAAATAGCAACTCAAAGCTGCTGGTTTTCGTATAGTAAGTTTAGAGTACCGGAGACCTCTGGAAAATGGAAACGAGGCATTCCATCTTAGTCCTCAGGGTTGGCAATGCATCTGCATTTTGTTTCTTAATTGATATTAGATGTAGATATCTATGGGCCACAGCATCCACATACCGTCATGTGGACTGTGTGCTCATTTGTCACCCTTATCCTATAAAAAATAACCTCCTCCCTTTTTTGATGTCAGTTATAATTTAACGGAATTTGACGGCAAACGTCAAATTTCGCGAAGAAGAGTGAAAATGTGTGCTATTACTCGTTATAAAATACCTTTATTCACTTTAATCGTGTGGTGGTCGTGTAAGATCATAACCATCTCGTATAGACCATAAAATTTCAAATTTCGCGAAGAAGAAAGAGAAGGATTATTTTAAACCAATGGGTGCGTTTGGCAGAAAAAAGCGCTAGCAAGCGCTTACAAGCGCTGAAATAGTTTTCGGCCAGGACACGATTGCTACTTCAGTAGCGCTGACTCAATCCGCCAGTTTGCTCATTTAATTTGTTTGTTTTGAAGTAGAGTTTATAAGTTTTTTTTGTGCAATATTAGTTTTAAGTAATATAATGACATGAATAGACATATAGATGTTATTAAAAATTCATGATTGGTAAGTTTTTAATATGAATACTTTACAAACATATATTTAAATTAGGTTAGGTTCCCCGGTTAAAACTGACTTCGTGTCCTAGAGGATAAATAGCTACTTACGATTTGACAGCGCTTACCGCTTACGATCGCCATTTTGCTTACAAGCGCTTGCTAGCGCTTTTTTCAGCTAAACGCACCCAGTGTATAACAAGACTAAACAAACCATGCGTTGTAATAAAACGTAAGCTGTTTGCCCATTATGAACAATTAAAGCCCATGTCGTCAGGCTTATATTTGAAAGATAGAATTATTTAAAAAATGTGTGTGTATATTACTCGTTATAAAATACCTTTATTCATTTTAATCGTGTGGTGATCGTGTAAGATCATAACCATCTCGTATAGACCATATTACGTAGTAGTATTATTTATTCTGTGACCATGTGTAAAATTTGTGTACTGATAGTTGTCAGTACACAAATATGTAGATATTTGTGTACTGACAACGGGCAACAACAGTAAGTGCAATATTTGTACTACATTCGCCAATCTAGATGCCGGAAAGATTTGTAATTGGAGAAGATGGGGTACTGATGATTATTATTAACTTCCCAGGGGGAGGTTATTGTAATGGGTCCGATTTTGCAAATTGGAAATGTTAACATATCTTTTTTTGTAGGATAGGGTGACAAACGAGCACACAGTCCACCTGATGATAAGTGATTTTTGTGGCCCACAGACATCTACATCTATCCTCGATTACGAATCAAGATGCAGATGCGTTGTTACCTGTGAGGACTTAGATGAAATGCCTCGTTTCCGGTAAAAAGAGTATCCGGTTCTCTACATTCACCTTACGGAACACAGCAGCATTAAGCTACTATTTAACGATGGTATTCTGTGAGAACGTGGTCCCCGGTCGAGCCGACCCATACGTGCTACAACTATACTACTAATTTAACAGCAGCATGGCTCTACCACTTAAAAATTGCCACGTTTCAAGGTCTATAAAGTCGAATTGTATGGTTTTTAAGAGGATATCCGTGTGTGCAGATGTACGTATGTATGTATGTGGGTATGTATGTATGTATGTATGTATGCATGTATGTATGTATGTATGTATGTAGGTATGTATGTATGTATGTATGTTCGGATTCAATTTTCGCCTCGTGTATCTCGATAATAAAGAGTGATATTGACATGGGACTAGTTTCATTTAACGCATAATTGTGTAACTTACACCTCGTTAAATTTTGAGCAAAATCGGTCGTCGTTTTTTGTGCCGACTGAAAAATCGTATTAAATATTAAAACATGATATTTTTTTATTCTTTCCACTGGGAAGTTAGTCATGTGAACCTTTCGGGTTGCACCTAGACCGCTTTTATAATTATTATTTTGCCATCCTTATTATTAAAAAGTCATATAAGAAAAATATAACAAAGCAATTTTCAACAGGAAAAGAATATCACGGCTTGTGGAATCGGTGCCATAACTCGCGTTGATCTACGGGCCTTCGTGTCTACTGCGATTACATTATTAATCACAACAATATTGTTACGATAAAAAAACACGTCGCTATCATCCAATGGATTTGTATCTTTCTTACTTTCGCAATAAAAGCTGTTTATCCTTACACTGTGTAATCATTTCCCACCATTAGCACCCTTGCAACACTGACCTAGTGGCATAACGAAATAAATCGATGGCTCGCTGGTAGTAGAATGAAACCGCAAGTTAAATACACATAAAGATAACGCACACAGATGACAGATGTACGTACAAACACCGAAATGCGCGACAGTAGCGGCAGTTGTACTACGTAAGAGGTGCAAAGCGCATGTCCGCCCGCCCATACCACGCCTGCGCTGTTCTCAGTTCATCGGCAGCTTAGATGATATCAAATTGGGTGTACAATATAATTTAAAGTTTAATAACTATTCAATATTTTATTATACGCGAGCCATTCTTAATATTTCTTAAAATGACTGAAAAATTATTTTAAAAAGACAGTGCAGTAGGGGCCCAAATTGGATTAAGTGTTTCTGATGTTCAACCGGATCGGATGCTTTGTGTCGTTAATACTCCTCCTTTCCCTTGACTCCAGGGATTGTACAGCTAGTGCACAATATGAAACGGCAAACAAAATATCACTCAACAGGTAATTGAGAAAAATAAAACTAAACTTAAAATAAAAACATAACTCGATTATATACTTTGAACATAGTTGCAAAATTTAAAATATATTTGTTTGTACATAAAATGGACAGGCAAAGTATATTAATTAATTATGTAAAATAATCAAATATTACATTTTACGGTATTTTAGTGTTCAAGCTTGGGCAGTTAAACTTGGCACAGAGCTTTATCACTTCGGTGAATTCATCACTAGGAAAAAGGAGGTCCAAGACGTAAGTAAAATATCCTCCAATATATTGTGCAATAATACACAATTTGACACATTGTTCATTCCTATTATAGAGTTTTAAATCGGCACAAATTGAATCAAGAGATGGGGAAAAGTTAGTGCAAAGTATGGCGGACGATATCCGCGCTATGATGGAACTTAAGATCAGCGCTGTGAAAAGAATAGTTGAAGCAGCCGAGAACATGGCTTTCGACAAGCAAAACGACCCGGTGCCTGAAGACTTTCAGTTTTACAACAGCAAAGAAATGGAGGAACCTTACGATGAAACATCCATAACAACAACACCCGAACCAGACTTTAACCTTGAAAACTGGATAATAAGACCACCAAGTAAAAGTGCTCACATGCAACAGAATCCGCACTTTTCAAATATCCCTGTAAACGTTAACTTTAGTAGCGTGCATGTTCCTACTAACGTGTATGCTTGGGGTAAGTTATAACTTATTTACGAATTACCTCCCATTCCAGCAAATTTTAATAATAATATAAAAAAAATATTCCGATAAACAAATAATCCATATAATATGTTAGTAAATATGAAACTTATAATTTATGTTAGTACCTAAATCTAATTCTTAAATACAAGTGCCTTATCAACTAAACAGAGGCGGTAATATTGCTTAAAAATAAACGAGTCATATCTATCAGCAATTATATAGCAGGCTAGCAGGATACTCTACCAAGTAACGAGGCTATTTTCTTTCTTATAATGGCGTAGTAGTCATCCGTATGCGCCTTTGCAAACATGTCTGATGCACTGCAAAATAGGGGTAGCCCCAACAAGACCCTGAAGCCGTTGTACTGGACGCGTAAGGCGTTGACAGCCCGTTGTGAATAATTCGACCACAGACTGCACGTCTAGAATATTTGACAGTAGGCTTTAAATAAAATTATCTTTACTTGTTCACTACACCGAGCAAAGCTACGTGCCAACATATTACATCGGACTGCCAGCGCCCTACGTACCCTTTCAATGTCCACATTGTCGTTTAGGCCATCGATTACAAAATGCCCTAGGTACTTTAATGCTTATAAGAGATTTCTATATGAAATTAGTCTATCTATTACATTTCAACATTAATGAAAATGATAAATTGTTGTTTTAGCACCCGACGTCATTAAAGGCATACACTGGTCAGAAGGACTTGACACACACTTTATTAATAATTACCAAAGTGATCCAACACTTTCGTGGCAATATTTCGGCAGTTCATCTGGATTTATGAGACATTATCCTGGTGATTGTTAAATTTATGACATTAACAATTTTCATTTAAAAGTATTTTATTTATTGTCAATATCGTAAATGTTTCACAGCAATGAAATGGAGGGCGGATCCAGTTGACATTTATGATTGTCGTACACGGGCCTGGTATATGGAAGCGGCAGCCAGCCCAAAAGACGTGATTGTTTTAGTCGATCGCAGTGGATCTATGACTGGTCAGCGTCGTGATATCGCGAAACATGTGGTCACTAACATTCTTGACACCCTTGGCAATAACGATTTTGTTAACGTGATGACATTTGCCGATACTGTCGAGGAAATAGTTCCTTGTTTCGATGACTCTTTAGTGCAAGTATGTAACATAATAGTGGTTCAATTTATAACCCTTAACAGTATTGATTTATTTACTTGGTCAATCTTCTAGGCAACGTTAGGAAATATACGAGAATTAAAATTGGCATTAGACAATTTTGAAACTATGGAAATCGCAAACTTTTCTGCTGCATTAACCAGGGCTTTTTCATTATTAGAAATCTATAGAAACAATAGCGGTGGCGCCAATTGTAACCAGGTAAACTGCTGGACTGATATTTTATATCTAAATACTATACATATATTATATTTTACATTCACAGATAGTAGTTATGGACGATTTAAATTTTTTAGGCAATAATGCTCGTCACTGATGGAGTACCATACAACTACAAAGAGATCTTCGAAGAATATAACTGGAAGTATGACACTCCCGTCAGAGTGTTTACGTACCTGATAGGTCGCGAGGTAAAGGTAGTACCACTCCAGGTATTACTGTGTGTCGTAGTCATTGTGCGACCTGCATAATGTCTTCCTTTGTGTCTTCTAACAGTAACCTTGAATGTGGTACTCTGTTCTTTCTCTATGGTCTATTTCTCGCTAACTTCTTAACTTTGATTGCATGAGCTTTAAATAAACTATACTCACATTGTCCTACTTCCATCTTCATAACGCTTTAGCTTCTAGTTTTTTTTTGTGAGTGTTACGTATCACTAATCCTAGTAATTATTGCATGTTCATACTAGTGAATTATAACTTGTGTACGGTTTTTGTAATATAACTATCTTAATTTGTGTGTTGTGTTACACCTATAATATTATTTTAAATACTAGCGTTTACTTTTTACTCCAGTATCAGCAGACGCTTACGCTTTGTCCTGATTAATAATTTATTGGCCACTGAAATCATTTGTTACATTCGGTGCAAGAACCTCAACTTAGCTACTTCGTCAAAATGTTTCTTTCTAAAGTCCATATAAAGCTGCCAGGTACTGTTTCATAATAAGGTCTAACGCGATCATTTTTTGAGTAGAAACTGGACAATTTGTCGCATCAGTTTCTTTTTTGGTATTTTAACAGTTACTGTTAAAACATTGACGTACGTTGCTACACATCAAAATCCTACTAGTGGCTTTTTGAGAAATGGTTTTAAATTCTTTTACATATTATTTTATTGTCGCCCAGCCGCGACTTAAAAAAATATGTTTGCAATTTCTCACAACTACCTACGATTTTCCCAGTCAAATTATTTGCTGCCAACATTTATACTAAATAGTTAATAATGACATCCGACAGTGATATTATCCGGTTGGTCTTAAATATTTAAATTTTCCTAGTAAACCTTCGACGAAATCACTTATAATAACCAACATTAAATAATGCACGACACTTTTTGCATTATATATCAGGGAGTATTCATTTGCTTACCGCCCCTATATCGCTCCCTTGCCGTCGGTGAAACGGCACACTAGCCAGATTCGATCGCTACCGATTACCTGGGAAACGCCATTATAACGTTTTTATACGTTGTTCGAATTTCACTGCTGCTATGAAACGGCCCGATTTTGCGTCCCGAAGCTTACACCTGGACGTAGTATCAAAAATGAGAAAAGGTCTCGTTCAAAACAGGACATATGGACATAAGTGGATCGGCCGAACATTAACGACAATTGTTTTGTCGTATGGTTACTTAGGACAAAGTGATAAGAGTTTGGTTCGTACTTAATTTATCTGCCGCCAGCAGATTATAATGATTCGTCACTAGACAAACGGTCTTTGTTTGCAAATGCTCCCTGGTTTATGCAGTGGCGTGCCATAGGTTGCTGTCGCCTTTTACATCCTATACACTTTATTATTTCAAAATGAATTTAGCAATATAGTGTATTTTTTATACTACTACATTTACCATTGGCAGGTGTATACTAGAGTTATCGTTATATTTCAATAAAAAGTATTGAGTAAGAATAAATTTTCAAATTCTTTTAGATTTTTATTGGCACTATTTAAAAGCTAAGTCTGGAACTGACTTTCTTACTCAAAATGCCACTCCCTAAAATCTGCCGCCCAAAAGCACAGCCACCACACACCACTGAGTTTGAAAATGCCGAAGGTATGGGTGCCGAGATCCACCTCAGCTGCATCACAACCTACTGCCGCTGGTATTACGTGATAGGTGATTTCGTGCTTTACGACAAGGTTAACAGAAATCACTACAACCTACCACCGCTGATATTACTTGATAGGTGATTTAGAATTTTGTGAAACGGCCCCATTCTATAATAGGATTATACAGCATCATGATAGAAGCATCATTTGGGTTTCACGGGACTTAGTAAATTTTGTATCACCTCAAAATTTGGGTTATTCCGTTTATTTACCCTAGGTTGGATAATCGGAATTCATTTTTATTTGAACAATTTTTTTACCCCAAGTACAGTTCAACTCAAACACTAATTATACAGCACCATACAGCACCATAATAGAAGCGTCATTTGGGTTTCACGGGACTTAAAATTCGAAGCACTTCAAAATTTGGGTTATTCCGTTTATTCACCTTAGGGTGGATACTCGGAAACGATTCCGACTATCCGTCCCAGATGAGGTGGATAATCGGAATTCACTTTTATTTGAACACACCCCAAGTACAGTTCAAGTCATACACTTTAATTATTAATTAATTTTCATTAACTACAAACTAAAACAAAAATCGTATTACGTATTGCCGTCACCGTCACCGTTACAGCTTAATATAAAGTACTTGCATTAAATTTTGTATTTAAATAACAAATTAAACTTCCTCGTTTTAAATAAAATTATTACGTAATTTATAAATTCTTGTGCAATATTTTAGGCTATTACCAACACTAATTTATTGAGTAGACGTAATTTCACATCTTGGATAAATTCGTATCTTTTAATGTACATTTGTGATCGTCTACTAAATTTCTTTGCTACAACAGATGTGTTAACGAAAGACGTGCGTTATTTTGCAAGCATTCCAAAAACGTTACGGTCTGATGTTTGTCTTTAACTTCGTTTTAAAGTGTTTTATATCATGATTTCAATAAATCTGTAATCCTGTGAGGTACTCCTTTTATTTCAGCGTTGATCTATCAAACAAGAAGTACATATATGTATATATTTTTATAGGTATGCTAATGTATACCAGTATCTTGGGTCCAGTTTTTATCATATTTCTATTAATGACTGTACATAGGCGAAGGAGGCAATATGGAGAAAAATAATAATATATCAAATGATGGCATTTCGGCATTTCACAAACCAGCGAGCGTTTGCAAACTGACGCTGCTTGTAAAATGTAGAATCGTGCAATCCGCCGACGGCTTAACTAAGCAACATTCCTTATTTTGTATATAATAATAAAAACCTTATGTACGTACGAGTACGTGTTTGTTTTTAATATTAACCTTAAGTTTTGATATGATTAAATAGATATTATTTTTTAAATGTAGGCTGCTGAATAATATGCGCTTTAATTTTTGATTTAAATTTTAATTTTATAATCTGTTTCTTTATGCAGTCGTCATACATTTTATTTAGGTGAAAGATTAGATAAACCAGAACTTTATAACGTGACAATTTGGCAACAATATAATATTGAATGGGTTAAATTCAGGTGGCTGATGTGAGAGAGGTGAAGTGGATGGCTTGTGCAAATAGAGGATTCTACGTTCATCTCAGTACGCTAGCAGAAGTAAGAGAGCGCGTGTTGGAGCACGTCAATGTTTTGGCACGCCCCCTGGTGCTGCAGAGAGAAAAGCACCCTGTGGTTTGGACTCCCGTCTATGCTAACATAACTGTAAGCTATTTTCGAATGTCTTATTAGCAATATTTAATGCAGAAAATATATACTAATTTTATTTTGAGTTAAACTGTATTATTTTCTCTGAGCGTAGTTTTTGGGATATATAGAAAAGAAAACATTTAGGAATTTTAATTTTTAACGCAATCTTTTAATCAATCTTTTAATGTAGATTCCGTCTGCTCGTTAATAATAATATATTTAGACCATGTTTTCGACGGTGTTCATAAATTAAAAATATTAACATTATTAAGGATCAAAATGCATTGTCATTATTACAATATCATAAGTTTACATTATCACAAAATAAAAAAATCAATTAGTAAGACAATATATTTTCTTGTAACAAATATCTATTCTTGTATTTTTTTTTGAAAAGGATCCGAAAGTAGCGGATTATTTATGGGAACAGCGGGAGAGAGCTGAGCAGAAGGAACGCTTCTTAAGTCAAAAAAGGGACAAGGCTCTTTTCAATTCTGAAAAAGAACAAGATCGTAGATGGAGGATTACACAGGTAAAAATGAATTTAAAATGTGAACAATAATATACAAGTAAATAAACATTGATTATAATACAGCGACAATCCTTTATCTAACGATATCTTTATTCAATTTAAAAGTGGTTAACGGTGCTATTTTTTACTTCTCGTGACTTGACTTTTTTCGCATTTCTATTATCCTGTAATGATGAAGATTACGATATTATAATAGATTACGTAAGTGTATGCAAATAGCTTACAAGAGATAAAACAAATTTTACAGATTTCGATTTGAACTCAACTTTTAACTCTCGTTTCGAGTAATTCTCAACACCTGTGGTCGATATAAAATCCCATCAAATTAAACGGGATAAAATCCACAAAATTTATTTACTTTCATTTCTAAAGAAACTCGACTGCTACACTTTGAATAAAACTAACTTTACAAACTTGTAATCATTCCCCGACGTTTCAGGTTATATTATATATAACTATATTATATATATTATATTATGGTTGTAGCACTAATAGGTCGGCTCAACCGGGGACCACGCTCTCACAGAATACCAGCGTAATACTGCTGTGTTTCGTATGGTGAGTGTAGAGATCCGGAGATCGTTTTTTACTGGAAACGAGGCATTCCATCTCAGTCCTCAGGGGTGACAACGCATCTGCGTTATGATTCTTGATCGAGGATAAAATTTCGATGTCTATGAGCAACAAAATCCACTTACCATCAGGTGGTCTGTGTGCTCGTTTGTCACCCTAATTCTATAAAAAAAGCGCTTTACAGGTTAAAGATCAGTAACATTAGTTTAATTCTACTGTTATAAAATTTAAATGTCGTCGGTAAAAAGTGCAAAAACTGAATTCACTGTTGCTCTAGCATAGCTGAAATTTATATACTTGTCTTCTTGTAAATGTATTGTTCGTTTAATTGTCTTAATTCATTTTGAATATTACTTCAGATGAAGCAGGGTCAGTATAGCGAACTAGGAAATTCTCAGTATCAGCTGATGACTTCAGTATCTATGCCCGTTTACGACTTACGCCATAACGAGGTGGGTCCACCAAATAGTCATATAGAATTAACTTTATTCCCATTTGTATCTGATTCGAACATAGAGTGATATCTTTTTAAGCAAAAGTAAAATATTATAGCGATCGATATCGAATACGAGCTTTGATATCGCAGAATAAAACAGATATTATTCTATGATCTAAATGCAAAATATTATGTCAATTACTTTCCAAATTCAAAATTTTTAATTGTGCATGCTTTAATACTTCTATAATCGTTTTGAAAACTTTATAACGTTAACTAAATTATCCAGATTGGTCTTATTTTTACTAATTGGGTGAAAGCTGTTCTTAATCTCTGTTGCGTTACCACGATCTATTACATAAAAATTTAATGTATAATTTAATGTTTAATATGCCTTTTTAATAATATTCAGTTTTGTTTGATGGTTTCCCTCAGAACATCACAGAGAATGTACTGATAAATGAAGCTTACTGGGTATCGGTTACAAGAGAGGTATTACACTTAGACAGTTTTGATGATTTTAATGTAAAGTTTTTGCAAGATACAAGAAAGTTTTTATGATTTAGTTTTTTTTTGGATTTCAGTAACGGTAAAGTCTTATTTTGGCCCCGTTAGCGATGCATCTGTCCTCGATAGATGTTGGCCGCGCCCTACGTCAGATTTCTAGTGGCCTATTCGGCCGCCGCCGACGTGTTGTTCCACCCTTTTGGCTTTCTGTAGTTCTGTAGTTTTCTATTAGATCGTAGGAGTAGACCACTAGGGTGTTATGATCAACTTTTCTATCAATTATCAAGTAAATATTTCTGTGCAAGAAACAATCTATAATACACATAATTTCTGATAAACAAAACATTTTTGCTTGAATTTAGTAATGTCTTCGTAGAGACATTTTTTTGAAGATTGTCTTGTATTACGAGAAGTAAATGTAAATACTTTCATGAAATTATAGTGCAGCCCGAAATAAGACTTGTATGGGGCTTTTGAGTTGAGTATCCTATCCAATTTAATAATTTTTTTATTCTTCCGAATTATATAACTTTTGATATATTGATGATTTAGTGTAAATATAAGTTTTCTCTTTGATGGAGGAGACATTTTGATTTCTAGAGGAGGTTGTTACAATGCATTTATCTATGTGTTATTATATTTTATTGCATTCATTCGCCCACAATTGCAGTCCGTAGAGGAGAACGGCCAGAAAGAGGTAGGCCAACGCTCTCATAGATTTGTGTGTCAGATGACGAGTGTATGATGCCAGATGATCGTTAAACAGGACTTAAATTGGAAATTAGTTTTGCTATATTTAATTTAAATACATATTTTGTGATTCGTACAGGATCATAAATATTTGTATTAATGATTTAATTAAAATGGGGAAAATTGTGGTTGTTCTACAAATCTGAATTCTCCTCAAACTGACTCAATTTATTTTCGAACTCAAGAATACTAATCCGAATACATTGTAGAATATAAATTATGAAAATTTCTTAAATATCTTGTGATATAAAAAAATAAAACATTCAATTAAGTCCTGTTATGGCTGATGGTATTCGTTATTTCTAAGCACAATGCACAAAACCTATTGTTACTGGCAATATTTGATATAAACATATTTATAAATAAACGCCACATTAATGAAGAGCATACATAAAATTATTAGTAAATTAAATGAAATTCAAATAAATGTATTAAATTATGTAACTAACATTTTCTTACAAGGATATATCAATGAAGCTCCTAACAAAACGTCAGTTGTAGTGAGTTCAATAATGAGTTTAATAACATGTAGTTTTTTATTATAATATGATCTTTAATTTTTGATTGTGTAGATTTGCTAGAATCCTATAATAACGAACAACGATTTAGTATCCTTGAAAATAAGTAGTTTTATAACTAATGTAATGTGTATAGATATCTAACGGGGCGTAGATGCTATAAACAATTATTGCTAGAATTTTTTTAAGAAACATTTCAAATATTATATTATATAGGTCGTAGATTATTGCGTGAGAGAGAAATAATGTAGATAGACTTATTGCTATGACAATAGGTGTCATTTTTATTTTAAAAACTTATTGATTATAATATATTTTAATTATATAAAAATATACTACATAGATAAATAGTCAATTTTTATTTTAAAAGCTTTATAATAAGGATCTTTTGTTCGATATTTTCAGATGCGTATTGCAAAACTATTGGGTGTAGCTGGAACAGATGTACCTCTTTCTGAGATACAAGCCTTGATGACCCCTTACAAGGTATCATTTAGTTTTTTTTTCTTCTGTTATTGGCCTTAGTAAATGTGTATCTGATTTTCAATTGTATTCGAGGCTGTAGTTGTTATATTTTCTCATCATCCTGATATTAGACTTCCCAGTTAGTCGCGTTTATCACGGCACTCAAAATATTTAGTACTTCTGGAGCTTATAAAACTCAATCACTAACGTCTAGTTAATCCGCTAAATTCCAATACTGCTCGGCTAGTGCATCTTTTACGAGGAGCGTTCAATGTAACCCTTGGTATGTTAGAAAAAGATAATATTATGAGATATTTTTTATTTTATCAATATAGTCTCCCATTACATCAATACATTTACTTGTTCGTGGAAAAAGCTTTTCTATTCCTTTGAAAAATAGACTTGAGCTGACTGTCGTCAGCAAATCGCTTTCCCCGAAGGTCTTTTATTTTTAAGATTGGGAATAAAAAGTAGTCACTAGGGGCTATATCTGGGCCGTTTGGTGGGTATTTAATTTCCTCAAACCCGCAGACTCGTACAGGATGCTTTGGGGAGCCGCGCCGTGTGAAAAAGCAGCATTACCTTGTTCAGCTTTCCTCTTCTCTTTTCTTCTCGATTCTTTTCTTTGCTTCAAACGGCGTAAGTGGCTGAGTATTTGTCTGCATTGATAGTTTCACCTTTTTTGTATACTCGATCGATAGTATTCCCTTAGAATCCCAAAACACTGCGGCCATGATTGTACCGGCTAATGGAGTGACTTTGAACTTCTTGGGGGAGGGATGTTTAATCCCTTTTTATGATAGACTCCTATTTACTCTCAGGGTCATAGTGGTGAACCCATGTTTCATCTCCTGTAACTATCTTATCGAAAATACTTGTTAAATCGTCACCACATTGCTCTAAAAACTCAACCCACACCAGCTTTTGAAGCGCAGTGAGCAATCGCGGTACCCATCTTGCACCGACTTTTGTGAAGTTGAGATAGCCAAGAAATATGGTGGGTATGGTACCAACGGATAGCCTAGTAATTTCTGCTAACATCTTAATTCTTACTTGTGCATTTTCTCATACTGGATTTTAATAATTTTCACATTTTCTTCTGTAGCCGCTGTGATTGGCCCAACCGGGCGAGTTATCGATGTTTTCCCTGCCTACGGCCACCATTTCTTCATGGATGCTTTTTGAGTTTTTCCTTGTTTAGTGAGGAATTTAATCACCGCACGGTGTTCGATTCTTTCAACATTGTCGAGTCAGTCATTCCCGTTGTCTATGACTGAAGGTTACATAGAAGTAATGAAGTTATCAAGACGAAATTTCATATTCATACCCTCAGGTAGAGTAGTTAGCTAATGAATCTTTTTAATTACCCACATTATTAGTAAATCACCCTAATACCGAGAATACATTAAACGCCCCTCGTATTAACGTACCAACGAAATCCCCAGCAAACCAAAACCAGCAACTTTATAGCAATAACAGGCTACAACAGTCAATTTTTATTATATAGCACAAATGTACCATAAACTGTTTACACAAAACAGTTATTTAAGTACTGACACTGAACACTAGTACTGGCTAAATCTTTGAAAAAAAAAATTACTTACAGATTGGCGTTAACGGATATGCATTCATTGTAACAAACAATGGATACGTACTTATTCATCCAGATTTGAGGCCTGTGGTATGTAACTAATATTATACGAGTTTAATGTTAAATATGTTAAATTTACAATGAAAACAATTGACGTATTGCCTTCTGTTAAAGTTTCAGCAGATATTGAAACCGAGTTACAACAGCGTAGATATGTTAGAAATTGAACTCTTTGACGATGATCGTGGTCCGCGAAACTTCAGCCGAGAATTGACAGCGGTGAGTTTTTTTTTTTAAAAATAAGCTAAGATAACACATAATATATTTTTCTTTTTTAAGTTATGTTATATGAATTGTTTTTTATTCCAGCTAAGAAAAGAAATAATTGATCAAAAAACTGGCAACAAGGCAATGAATGTCAAATATCATTTAGATGACATGGTAAGTAGCGCTTTCTCTACTCTGATACTCAATGAGTAGTCTGATACTCTATCGAGTACACTCATTTTATTAAGAGACTAAAAGTAAAGTAATTACTTTGATAACATCTTCATTACCATTTTTACATCAAATAGCTGTGAAAAAGGTTACATAAACATAAATACATAAAATGTAGGTTCAATATTTACAATAAAACTTCCAAAATAATTTCCATAAGAGAGATCATACGGTTGCTTTAATAGCAATGTTAGTTTTTACTCTTTTATAATTTTATTGTAATAAGCCTTATGAGCCCTTTTCGCTACCAATGAACTTGTCACTCGCAGTTTTAAAAGTCGATTTGTTATGTACTTGTCGGTGAGGGAACTCCTCATAAATATCTAGCGTGTCTAAGAAATTAAAAAAAGGTGTTGATGTCGCGTGAAATTCACCAACACCCACCATGGAGGCAAGGCGGCCGACGGTTTTCCTTCTTCAAATACCCCTCATAAACAAAAGGTTAGCCTGTGCTCCCTCAACTGTGAGTCTATAAGTAGACCCGGATTAAATAACAGCAGGGTTCTCTTTTATAGCTCATGGAAATCTAAGATCATGAAGGATAATGTGTAAAAGTGTCTTTCAGTTAAAGGAAATAAAGTTTATTAAAAAAATATTTTTATTTCTTTATCTTCTTCTTCCTTTCTTTATAAATCCTCAAAAGTTTACTGTTAGATATGTGACACTCCCGTTATAGGGACGATCTGCCATCATTTTGTATCAGCGTTATAATTATAACACTTCGCAGGCAAATTGACGACCACAGTAAATACCAGACGACCAGCATCTTTGACGGCTACTTTTTATCATTGTCACCGGTCTAAATAGTTCACGTCCTGCAGGACGTGAACTATTTAGACCGAAATAGGAAAACGGGATGGTTATACCGCCATCTACATCAGGTCTTTCTGAAATTTTCCGTAGACACCTCTTACCTACGGGACAAAATAGAGCGATGGATTATTTTAGGCCGCCATCACCGGTATTGACGTATATTAAAATTTCTTCTTAAAAAAATTTTGTCCCCAAGTCACCGGTATTTACGTATATTAAATTTCTCCTTAAAAAAATGTTGTCCCCAAACTAGGATTCTTCTAGTATCGTGAAACGAGTGAAAGTATTTTAGATGATAGAACCAAGCAGGTTATATTATAGTTGTAGCATGAATGGGTCGGCTCGATCGGGGCAGGACCACACTCTCACAGAATACCAGCGTAAAATAGCAGCGTAATGCTGCCGTATTTCGTATGGTGAGTGTAGAGAACCGGAAACCCGTTTTACTGGAATCGAGGCATTCCATCTCAATCCTCAGGGGTGACAACGCATTTGCATTTTGATTCTTAATTGAGGATAAATTTGGATGTCTATGGGCCACAGCATCCACTTACCATCAGGTGGACTGTGTGCTCGTTTGTCACCCAAAGCTATAAAAAAAGTTTACAAACATAAATCGCGCAAGAATAAACATCCGGACCTGGATTTTTTTATATGGAATAATTATATGATGGTTGTAGACCATAAATATTGTACAGTGAATCCCTTTCAGACTCACAATTCTCTGCGCCACGATGCCGTCAATTTTGCTGTATTAATATTAAATACTTTGATGTTAATTATACCCTTGGCTGTGTAAGAAACATCCCCAACGTATCGTATGAGGCACCAGAGAAAAGCAAACAAGGAGATGGGCAGCAGCATCTTCCTAATAAAACTAAAAAATAAAATAAGATGCGGCTGCCACAAGGGTGGCAACTATGGCAAATACCGCATTCTATGGGGAGGCCTATATTCAGCTGTGGTCATTTGATAAACTGCAATAGTAATGGTAATGTTTATTATATTTTTAAGTGGTTGAGCCATGCTGTAACTATATTACTGGTATAATTGTAACACGAATCGGCTCGACCGGGGAGCGACCACGATCTCACAGAATACCAGCGTAAAATAACAGCTTAACGCTACTGTGTTTCGTATGGTAAGTGTGGAGAACCGGAGACCCTTTTTACTGGAAACGAGGCATTCCATTTTAGTCCTCACGGGTGACAACGCATCTGTATTTTGATTCGTAATCGTCTAATGGACTCATGATGGTATAACCATCGCGTTTACATCGGACTTAAAATACCCATACCAGTGACGCTATTAATGGTGCGAGTAGTCTGGTTGTAGTGGATCCGATGAGTTCTCCAATCCATCTAACAAGAATAACTATTGATGGAAATACCTCCTGCAATAGCAGTGGCCAAATTATGAAGAAGATATTACTTATATATAACTTCAAACGAATATTGCTCAAACTCGGGAGAAATCCATTGCTAAAATGAATCTTACTTTTACCAACAGAAGCGAGTATCCCGCGCCCGAAAACATTTATATTGGACAGGTATTAGCGATTCGCCTTTTACATTGGTGGTGACAATCCCAGAGGGCTATGGACGGCACCGTGTCACACCGCCACCTACCGATGACATACATCGACTTTCGCTCACATCTAAAAATATATCGGCGAAACAGTACCTGTCGGATAAATGGAGCGTGCACCCCGATTGGTAAGACAAGTTTATTATTAAAATTTCCTTTTTATACAACTTAAGGTGACGCACCAGCTCACAATTCACCTCACGGTAAGTGAATACCGTGGCTTATAACCACTACTGCCAAATACTGTCGATAAAAAGAAATAAGTTGGAGTACTTCGTTAAAAGAAAAAAAGGTTTCCGGTTCCCCTCGCCTTATGATGGAATACAGCAGCAATTAGCTACAAATTTACACTGGTATTTATGGTGGTGGTGTTTGCTCACATCAAATACAAATAGAAAAAAGTGTTACTCGTACTAGGTCTTTAATTAAAGTAATCATGTCGTTTGACTACATCAAGTTTAACAACTTACAAACAATTTATTGAAAATAAAAAACAAATCTTAGAGATTCAAAGTGCAAAACGAGTTATTTTTTTAATAATAAACACAATATTAAAAAATTTACGTATTAAAAACCTAAAACTAAAAAAAATATTATTGCGTATCGTGTGAAGAACGCTGTCTGAGTTTCCTCGGTGAATGGCTACACCTAAACATTAGGTTAGAATCTTCGCCGCAGAGGCTCATATTTGCGCCACTTAGTTCAGCTGCCTCTGCCGCCCTAGCTCTAAGCGAGGTACCCCGAAAATAAGATGCTCTACGCAAGTAGCATCCCACACTAGGGCTTTACCTAATTCCCTAGGGACCAACAGTCCTACGTGAAGTCTCTTGTGAATATTCCACAAGGTTCTGAAACCGTGAGAACATTTATGGAGACAATAGCTCTTCGGATGATATCGTTCAACCGTGAAAAGAACATCTCCCAGAACTGTTCCTACATGAAAGTTCGTGGAGTCGAAAGTCGTTGACGCTGCACAAGGGCACTGATGAGTTTGACATATCGCTGCTTCTCTTAGTATTCCTACGGCTATGCGCAAGCTTTCCCCATCAAGTAATATTGCGAGATTACTTGATGGTAAAGTGTGTAATCAATAACACAAAATATATAATAGTACTACGTACCAGTGACTAGATCCCATAGTCGAAAAAGCTAGGAAACGGGCCTGATCTTGGTCACTATGGAAATTATGAAACAAATCTTTCAATATAATACATAAGAAATGTGATTTTAATTTTAAATTGTATTGAATATATTAAAATAATTGGTAGTAGTTGTAGCTCAGGTGGTTAGCGCTCGCTATAAATTTCACAGTACGCGAGCAAAATGGGTTCGATCCCCGTCGACACCAATGAAATTGTTAATTGCAATTTTAAGTGCCGCCACGTGCTGTGCGGTGAAGGAATACATCGCAAGCAAACCTGCATATCTGAAAAATAAGAAAAAATATTTCGAGGACATGTGAAGTTCGCAAACACGCATTGGGGCAGCTCGGCGGACATTTCCTTGCACTAAAACGCTCTCAGAAATGAGAGACCTGTGCCCATCCGTGGGTCGTATATAGGCTACAACTTTAACTAACTTTTATATTAAAATGGCTGTTTCGGGTTATAATAGGTTGTATTGTCGACACTACGAGCGCACATTTTCGACGCCTGAAGAAGAACTGCTCTATTTCTTAGAGCGAGTAGCAAAACCGGGTTGGCGCTGGCCGGCGAAACCTCGCCCACCAGAACATCATAAGAACAAGCCTGGCCATGAAAAGCATACTAATGGTAAATTAAACAGACCTTTAAATACTGCAGACCTTTAATTAAACAGAGCTTTAAATATACCCATTACCACTGTGTAAAATGTCCTCCAGACCGAATTTCGGCCACGGCGGCCTGCCTCAACGGAGGCTAGCCATCGGCGCAGGACAGGATTATAGTGCCAAAGTGTATGCGCAAGCACAGGTGCACTCTCTATTCCCTCACTCTCGTAATCCGATGGGACGGTAAACCGACACAACCGGAGAGAGATCAGGCGCAAGCCAACGGCTTTTTGTGCTTTCCGAAACACGGGGGTGAGACACCACCAACTTCCTGACTCCGGGCCGCTACTGAGAATTTCTTGACAGAAAAGCTCAATAATTGATTTTTTGGCCCGACCCGAGATTCGAACCCAGGACCTCATGATCAGCAGTCGCACTACTACAACAACTAGACCAACGAGGCAGTCACTGTGTATCACTGTGTAATAATATTATTGGGTAATTATATGATCATATTGTATGAAAGACTACAATTTATTTTACCAGCACAGCTTTTAATTTAACAGGAACTCCTGATGCCAAGGAACGCAACAAGGTATCGAACACAACTCCTCGGGTTGAATACTACTGTAAGTGCCTTTAATAATAAACCAACCTACTAAGAAGTACTGTAAAAAGTTAAGTTTTATCATACTAATCCAAACTACAATAATTTTACTAATTGTTGCGAGCCATTTTCCTGCAATATAAGTGGAAATAACTTTTGTCATTTGAAAATAGTATGTACATATTACAATACATTTAAAGTTAAATGTTAAAGCGACGGTAGTCCCATGTGAAGATGAAATCCTTATGGCCGACACACACGGTCAGTTAAACTGATCAGTTAACTGATCAATTCAACTAATCAGTTCAACTGATCACTTCAAACGGATGTAAGCCAGAACGATCTCCCCACTCACTGGCTCCAAATTTCAATTTAAGATTTCACACTCTCGGTCAATATTTGGATGAACGTCAGTGCAATTGATCAGTTTAATTAACCTTGCGCCCGTGAAAACTCCGTAGATTGTCGTCAGTTAAAGATTTAAACTTAAGATTTCACACTCACGGTGTGAATCGTGTGTGTCGAGCATTGTTCTATACTTGCAAGTCTACTGGCTACTGATATTATTTTGTTAAAACTGAAATAATTAATAATATTAAAAATAATTAATATAATTTAAGTATTACATAACAATTTTAATATTGAAATTTTGTCTAGCCTTTTTTGCAAACCAATCGTACCATTCGTAAACAAAATATTTTAAAACCGTATATTAACTGCTTTATTTTTACACCATACTCAAAAAACATTTTTTATATCGTTCTGATTAAAGGCGATCACGGACTAATGCAGGCACTAGTATACGATGCTAGAAATACCGCCTGGTTTAACAAAAGCATCTCGGAGTCAGCGTCCGAAGAAAAGGCGTAAGTTTATATACCTTTAACAATAAACATATTCCGTTATGTTTCATAATTAAACTTTGAAAATGTAAAAACTGACTTAGAAGATTAAACCTCGTCAAGTCTGTTCTAAAACATAGTGTAACGAAAAATTAAAACTTCGACTTAAAAACATATAAACAAAGTATTAAACTATTTTATTATTTTTAGTTCTTTAAAGTCGGTTTTACTTTTTTAAGGTTTGTTTGACCCTTTTGAGTGGAATAAGCAATATCACACCCTCAAAGTTATAACTACATGTCACAGTACAAATTTAATCCCCTATTATTCCACACTTAGGTGTGAATTTTTTTCTTCAAATTTAAATGGAACCCTTGAATTATAAGATATTACGAAACATACACACAAAAACATGCAGTCGTATTTAGAAACTCTTCCTTACGTTAAGTCGGCTATATTGTAAAACATGCTAAGTTATTAAAATAAATATCAGGATTACCAACCCGTAATGAGTTCACTGATGAATAATTTCCTGAAATCAGCAAGGTTTATTGTAACCGCCAATTACTGCCGATTTAGTGATTGCAATCTAGCCGTTACCTTTACTTGAGCCTACCATCGGCTTACGTCACATTATTTTTTTTGAAGTATCTTAGCCGGCCGACTTAAGTTCTATATCACACAGAGAGTAATTGATAGGTCTTGGAAATCCTCACATAAGTGTTATCCACCTTCCGAATTTTAAAACTCTTAATTTAAACCGTGTCGCAAATATTTGAAATAACAAGACATTAATTTAATAGCACAAAACAGTAAATGATATTAGTACATTAAGGTAATGTTAACTTGTAGAGAACTACTTTTGTTTTGTTTATCACACATATAACTCACCTTGCACCCACATTTTATTCTAACTTCTGCCTGGATAGCCCATTGACAAAAGTGATTGGATTATTACCGAGGTAAAGTATTATCAACAAGAAAGAAACGTAGATACTGCATGCCTGTGATCTAACTATTTATTATGTGTTAAATTAAGATATGCGTGACTATACTATCACATAGGTCAGCCTGTCCAGAAAAATAAAAGCCTAATGAAAACCTTGTTGAACTTTATATGGAAATAACTATAATCAGCGCAGCGCGATTCGAATCGTCTGCTACCAGGCTCTATCTGATCGGCTTGACTCACTGCAGTGCACAGAGATGTTGCATCTCTTTGCGTACTTGTATTTTATCGCATTTACCACGATAGTTCAGAGTTCAGAGAAATTGTTCGGACTATTCCCAGCCGCTCAGTTTGGTGACAAAACTCTCGATATCATCCTTACTATCTGGATGATTGGCGGTCCACCACTGTGCGATTACATGAAAGGACGAGGGTAATATGGCCACCATAAGCTTTGCCGCCCTATAAAACCGAAACTAGGAGAAGGACAGAAACAAAACACAAGGTCGTATACTATAAGTAATGTATTAAGAAACAATTATGAACACTTCGAAAAATCAACTTAAAAATACTAACTATACTACACCATATTAAAATCGTCTAAAATATTTACTATAATATCAACTGTCATAATGGCGTCGATAAAGCAGCGCCCTTTTGACCTTTTATTATTTGATCGGCCGATTAAGCGCTATCGTATCACAAAGCCATCTATGTAAACAAGGCTGTAGTTTTGGAGTTATAAGAAAGTGACCATATTGACCGGATATAATCTTCATATTACCCTCATGTACTAAAGTTTTTTTCTCACACAACTTCCTTGTGGAATCGACTACCACCAGCGATTTTCCCGGACTGAAACGACTAAGAGATCTTCAAGGAAAGAGTCTACTCCTTTTTAAAAAAATTTGCCTACAGCTATGTTTGTGAATTTGATATTTGTGATAGAGGACTTGATAACGGCGGATCTAATTCATAATATGATTTAATTCTTCTTCTAACTAGACGTTACAATTGTGATTCTCTCACAACTAAAATAAATGATTGTTATTAAAACCTGAGTGATACACTTCTTCACAAGAAAAATCTCACATGATATACTACAATATCAAATTTGATAACGTAGAAATGGCTAAATGTTAACAACCAAGTCTATGACCTTATTTTTCGGAATAGATTACAATCTTTCCGACATTTTCAGTATTGTATTGTTCGGTATGTATAGTAAGAGAATCTACTATCTACCTTATCATCCCACAGATAAAGGGAATACAAGAGGTGGGCTGCACCTTTATCCTGATAACAATATCATATCATAAAAAACTACGGTCGCCAAGCGTGGTAGCTATGGCAAGTATTCGTTCTATGTTTAGTAGTAGGCTATATAAATAATAAAAAAACGATATTAAATTCTGTATATTTTCTTTCGGTTTCTAATATATTACTTTTTACACAAAGAAAAAAGAAATTACATCACCATTTCACAATTTTTTTTAACTCTTGACAGACACATTTTCAGATAACATATTTATAACATACACAAAGCTAATAATTAAAATTGAAATAAATGTCGGCTATATCCGTAAAATGACAAAGGTTTTTAATTTCCTGGTCGGGCTACCTATAAATAAAATAGGTATAGTATGTTCCAATACTAATTTAAAAAAAAATATACTATTCAAATATATTTCACTTTTTAAAAATCTGGCCTAAACACACTGGTCAAAGAAAATGTGTCATATAAAGCATACCGACAAGTGAGACACCCAACTTATCCTCAACTCATTTGCAATTTTCGGAAAAGAGTACTTCTACGAATAACAGACAATAAAAAAACATAAAACATAACATAAACACTCACGCCTGTCACCCAGAGGGGTACGCAGAGATAGAGTCCCATTTGGCAGGCACAATCCTGACACAACTCTCTCGCCTCCTCCACACATACGCATACATGCTCGTCGGTTATCCTAATTTGGCTCAATATATCGCCAATTTGGTCGATAAACTTTCGCCTAGGACGTCCCTTTCCGACTTTTAGAGAAAGATTAAGAAGAGATATTATGTCGTAATTTTCCAAACGCTGCCCAGTTGAATTGGATGCATCGATTGTCCTCTAGGTCGAAGTTGTACCTACCAAGTCGGACAATTTGTCCTAGGTCTAGGCAAATATACTTGTTAACAATTTCGAGCGTAGTGTTCCCACAGCAACTACCGGCATAGGTGTAACATGGACGTTACACATGACCATTGTCTTATTTATTTCCACGAGGTAGAACCATGTTGCAGATATATTATGGTTGTAGCACGAATGTGTACTCTCTCTCACAGAATACCAGCGTAAATTAGCAGTTAATGCTCCTGTATTTCGTATGGTGAGTGTAGAGAACCGGATACCCATTTTACTGGATACGAGGCATTCTTCTCTTCATTCGTTGTCACCTCAGGGGTGACAACACATCTGCATTTTGATTCTTTTTAAAAGATAGATGTAGATGTTTATGTCCACGGCATCCACTTATCATCAGGTGGACTGTGTGCTCGCTTCTCACCTTTATTCTATAAAAAAATGTCATTTCGAGACTTATACGTTGGAGGCACAATTGAGTTCCTTGTATATAGTACTGAGGTGCCATAACAACGTTCTTCAAAACCTCTCCAATTCCGTCCCCTATGTTGGAAGAAGGAGTAGAGCAGAGTGCGACGACTTTATTCTTTAAGCAAAGCGCATAAGCTCTTTTGAAAAGCTGCAGACAGATTTCCGCAACTACGTACTGTTTTCTGGAATCATTACAAATCGTCTTGAAGTCCCGCAGTCTTGAAGACCAGCCTTTTGAACAAGCCGGTTTACTAAAATGCTTTAGTAAAATAGATCACATACACACTCTTCGGCAAATTGTACAAAAACCGAAGAATACAATCTGCCACTCTGTTTTGCGTATGTGAACTATGAGAAATCTTTCGATTGCGTCGAAATTTTGTCGGTCCTACAACTCCTTCACTACACTAAGTTGACTGTCGGTATATCGAAGTGCATATCTATCACTCTACTGTGAAATATTTGTACAGTAGAGCTACAAGACAGGACGATAATCCTATCCACACACATACTTAATATCAAAGTGCATATCTATCACTCTACTTAAATATGTAAGTAGAGCTAGTTATAAACTGAGTACGAATCCTATCCAATTGCAAAGGGTGTAAGACAGGGTGGCATTATATCCCTGAAACTCTTCACCGCTTCACTATAAGGCGTTTTCAAGGCACTGGAATGAAAAGGCCACATGTATCGACAACTATGACGTGTATAAGTACCTACATGGCTCGCCTTCGATTTGCCGACGTTTTGTTATGAGTGGTAAGAACAATTATTAGTTACTTATAACTAGCGCGTCTAGATAGGATCTATTAATTTGGCGTTATTTAGCTTTAAGATAATTTATTTTATCAACTTTTGACTTCTTAAAAAAAAACAATTTTTTAAGAAAAAATATAGCGTAGATCTCTCTTGGCATTGCGCACTATCTGTTCTAAAAGTTTCATTATAACCGGTTCAGCCATTCCAAAGGTTAACCCGGACAGACAAAAACATTTAAAATGGCTTTCATTTCTTAATGACACGCCAATAAACCCAGCTGGTATTTATATGTATAAATGAAAATGCTAGTCGTAGGTAATATACTGATTTTTTCTTCTCCCATATAATAGAATAAAAAAGCATCCAAGGAAGTAAGTAAAATAATGTGTAATTTATTGTATAAAATTGTCACGTAACTACATATTATGTAAGCTGCACTTGGAATGTTGTAAGTATATACGTAAAAGTAAATCTTTTCGTCATAAAATATATCTTTTTTTTTTTAATTAATATCAAGTGCAAAAACGCATCATTTTTCCGTCGAAGAGTACAAATTACCTGTTTCCGGTACCAGATAGATATTAATAAAATAACTCATATTATTTAAAATAATTACCTGATATTTTCTTATCATATTATAACTTGTGCTTGATATAATAATGCGCATTGCGGCTTTGAGTATCAAAAGTGTTTGGTTATTAAAGGGATGTCGTGTTTGTCCGTAGGGCGGAATTCATTCAGCGCTTCGGATACATCGTGGCCTTCCTTGCAACCCATAGTGGACTCACACGTTGGCAAACACACCCACCTAAGGAACATGAACCGGATAAGTACGTAATTTATACTTCTATTTTTCAACAAAATTATAATATTCCGTACTATATTGTGTATCTGGGCAGCTGGGATTTGAATCTGGGATCCGTTGAGTAGAGATAGATTAAGTGACGAAGACGCACCCAACTTACATTCTTAATCGTATACCACTAGGCAATTGCAAAGTTTGTTCTATCGCTACTAACATAAAAAATATGGGCATTTGAATATTAAGATAATTTGTCTACACCGAGACGTGATAGAATCGAGAAATTCTATTCACATATCTTGCAGGATAACTAAACCAAAAGTTGCTAGGACAAGTGGCGTCCATTGAATCATTTAGTGTTTAGCATTTTTGAACGGGTTTTTCGGTATCAATCTGATAGCAGTACAGCGTTTAGGTCAAGTAAGGTAAACATTTTATGAATGTTTGAATGAATGAATGTTTTAATTTTCTTCCGCGTACGACCTCTCTGTGAAATAGTTTACCACCGGCGATTTTTCCGGACCGATACGACCTGGGGACGTTCAAGAAAAAAGCTTACTCCTTTCTAAAGGGCCGGCAACGCACCTGCAATACCCCTGGTGTTGCAGTTGATCATGAGCGGCGGTAGTCACTTAACATCGTTAGCCGCATGCTCGTTCGCCTCCTCTCCTATAATTTTTTTTTATGAAACGTTATCTCCATACTATGAATTTCTTCCTTATCGTTTCCTTATCGACATGGACATAATGGGAAAATTGAAAGAAAGTTTGCATATTACCTTGCAGTAAAATTAATTATCAATAAAAACAATTTAAAGGCCGGAATTCGGGAAACAATGGCCGCGCGCGATCGACGAGGTGTGGTACCGGCGCGCAGTGGAGCAGCACTACGTGGAGCCGCTCAGCTACGTGTACAGCGTGGAACTCAGCACGGCACGCGCGCCGCTGAACGTTAGCGCGGCGATGGTGACGGCCGCGCACGCTGTGTTCCACGGCGACGGCCACAAGAAGGCGCCCGCCGCCGTCGTCGGCTTCCAGTTCAAGCACGAGCGGCTGAGCGAGTGGTTCGAGAACATCACCTCTTCGGTACGATATTATATATTCTTTTAAGGGTGCCTTTTCTCTGAAGTAGGCCGAAACAGAGTAAGTGTACAAAAACAGAGAGGAACCGAGTAAAGCAAAATTAAACCTTTAACCAAATGTAACAGCCGTTTTCAAAAATCTAAATATCACACCTGTAATTCCCGTGGGGGTAAGCAGAGTACAAAGAACAGTGAGCTACGCGACCACGTTTAGTCAAAATATATGGGTTTCTATAGAAAATTGTAAAAGAAGTTACAGGCTAGTTTAAACTATGTTATACCTAATCTAATCAATCAGTTACCTAAATCTTTGAAAGACGTCATTACACGTAAAAACATAAAATATAAATTAAATTTTTTTTATATACAATTAACTCTTACTAAATACTCGTAACACTTAAAACAACTTCTCGTTCTATATTATTGGTTTACTTTACCAACATATTATCTTATTATGAATTTATGAAAATATATGTTATAATCAGCCTGTATCACGATTATTCACAGAATGTAATAAATTCACCTTGTGATTTTACGCTCACCGCCTAAAACTATTTTATATTTTTGTACCCACAAATAGTTTGTCAATTAGAAACATAACATTTATTGCACCTTATTTAAGTTGATAATAATATTAATGTAACTTTGGTAATGTAATGTATTGTAAAGTGTTAATTAGAATAATGTGTCGACAGCAATGGTGTACGGAAAAACTCTAATGAGTTTATGTTTACACTAAAACTATTCATCTTTGTAATCATAAATTTCTTAAATAAATAAATCGTATATACAATCACAAACCCAATATGCTATTAGTCGCTTTTTACGACATGCTAGGCAGAAACACAGTTACTACAAAGTTTTTTGTTATAAATCCATATATACAAGGGATATAAGTGCCAAACAAACATAGGTCAGAACGAAATAATTTCCAAATAATATGTCTTTACCTATGAAATTGCCGTTGTGCAGTATTGGCCATTACAAATCAAAATAATTTTTGTTTGGCTAAGAATTCTAATTTCAAATTAATTTTATTTAAAAAAAATGGAATTCTTTTTTTCAAAATTAGTCATTATTTTATTGATAAGCGTTGTGTTTTCATCGCATTTGAATCTCATCTCATTGTCATCATGGATACGTTAAAAATTGGAGTAATTAAAAGATTACGAGTACCGTCGTGGCAGCAACACGGCACAAGCGGCACACAATATCAACGACGTTTGCGGAGCGAATACTATAAACGAACGCACCACCTGTTATTGATTTGCCCGCTTCCGTTCTCGAAATTTCGACCTGAATAATGAACCCCGTGGTCGTCCGAAAACTTTGGTCGACAATGATGAACTAAAGGCAATTGTGGAAGCTGATGAAACACAACCTACGGTTGAATTAGCAGCAGCTTTCGACGTTAGCATCGAAAAACTATAATATGTCCCTTTGCATCGAATTGACAAGGTAAAAGAGCGTGACCAATGGGTGCCCCACGAACTCAATGATCGCCAGCGCGAAATACGCGTCGAGACGTTCCTTACACTGCTCAACAGGCACACACACGAATCCATTTTGAACCGCATTGTTAGCTGCGACGATAAATGGATTCTGTTTGACAATCGCAAGCTCAGCAAGTTAGATGGATTCTGGTTCAGCACCTTAACAATGCCCTAAACGAAAACATACCCCTAGAAAAGTGATGGTCACTGTTTGGTGGTCTAGCGCCGGTGTGATCCATCACAGCTTCTTACCAAACGGGATGAGCGTTACTGCAGATGTATACTGTTAAGAACTGAATACAATGATAGAGAATCTTGCACGTCTGCAACCAGCTTTGCTCAATCGCCCGTCCCCGCTGCTCCTGCACGACCTCATACTGCACAACAGACGGTCTCCAAGTTACAAGCGCTGGGTGTTGAAAGCTCTCCATCATCCACCGTACTTACCAGACCTTGCGGCTACAGACTTCTACTTTAATTTTTTAATCATTATAAGGAATATGCTGCTGTCCATATCCTATTACGCCACCGCTATAAGGCTGGTTGGTTAACGACAGTTGAATGGCGGATTAGAACTTACGGCCTTCTAATTGTCCTTATATTATAGTTGTAGCACGAATGGGTCGGCTCGACCGGGGTAAGACCACGCTCTCATAGAATATCAGCATAAAATAGTATGGTGACTGTAGACAGTCGGTGACCCTTTTTATTGGAAAGAAGGTATTCCATCTTAGTCCTCAGGGGTTCCAACGCAATGACATTTTGATTCTTAAACGAGGATAGATGTAGATGTGTCAGGGCCGCAACATCCACTTACCATCTGATGAACTGTGTGCTCGTTTGTCACCCGTATTCGCTTTAAAAAAATCAACCATTATCTACTGTCGCATAGTACTTGCCAGAAAAAAGTGCTTCCTATCGCCTGTTCTAAACTTAAACTATTTAGTTAATAGTTCCGTATTTTCCAATTATTTCAGTGCGAACATAACAAGGAGTGCGTCACCTGCTTATCCGATAACTGGGACTGCTATTTAGTGGACAGCAACGGATGGATCATCGTCAGTGAAGACCCCTCACAAACCGGACATTTCTTTGGAAAAGTATGTTTTAATTCTTGTTCTATTTATGCTCTACGTCTATTTGACTGCGACTAAAGTCGGCTGCAGACGCTTTGTCTCCCTGTGAACTAAATAGAATGCTTTATGCCGATAATTACACTGATACTGTAACCCTCTTAACGTGAGACAATGGATACACGTCATTTGCGGCAGATTTAAGAAGTAAGTGTTTCCGAGGCGTAGTCTTAAGCAGAAGGACATATTGACATCTTACAGGTCATGAATTCTCGTAGATATAAAAAACTGCCGTTAGTAATAATTCACATAATGAAATCGATAACGTATATTAATATCTTAAAGTTAAAAGTAACAACTTACATACGTCCTACTACTCATCACCCTCTTCATCTTCTCTTCATCTTTCTAGGCTAAGGAGCAATTAGTCAGTGTGTGTTGGCGGAAACCAAATGTCCTCGAATATATTTCATTCTTTAAGCATGCATGTTTGCCCACGATGGTACCCTTTGCCGCACGTGGTAAATCAGCACTTGAAATTGCAAATGACAATTTTAATATCAAATAGACTCAAATTTGTATTACATTGGTATTTAACAAAAATGCTCACATGCACAGATACGACCGGACATTATGATGCAGTTGGTGGACGACGAAGTGTATAAGACCGTTCACGTAGTCGACTACCAAGCGGTTTGCTTCCGCGAGAAGAAAACGACTAATCCGGCGTCTGTATTATTAACGGTAAGTGAAGTGGTGAGTACAAGCCAAGAACAAGTATGTGTAAATATGCATACTTGCAAGCTATACATACTGGTTAAAAAATTCATTACAACGATTAAAAGCCTTTAAATAAGGCTATAAAAGATTAAAAGATTCATCCAACATAAATTCTTTCTTTTATGGAATACTAGCAATAAAATTGTTAACACCACTATACTATGAGAACAGTAGTTATTAATATTTATTTTCGACATATGCGAAGTGAAAATTCACCACAAACTTAGAGGATCTATCTCTGTGTATGAAAAAGTGTCCGTCGAGAAGCGTCCAAAAATAATTATGTAGGCTATTACCTAATACCTAAACGTCAGCAAGCAATCATCATCAAAGGACTGCAACTTCTGTACGTGCTAGGTACTGTTATTTATTCTGTGCCTTTACCCTACATAATACGTAGGTACATAAACACACAGATGGCACTAGGAAGTTAAAAAAGATAATTTTATTGTCAACATCACACTCCATAGTCCAAAATGTTACCAGGCGAAAAAGGATATTTAGCTTTTTTAGAGTTCCGTGATTTTAGGACAATGAAAAATTATGGTATTGCCTCGTTGTCTGTTTTTCTGTCCCAATGGTTTTCCTCTGAGTTTTACGTACAACATAGAAAGTTAGTAGATATGTTTAGGTAAATGATTAAAATATGGAATATTTTTAAAATGCGCTTAAAATCAATAATAACTTGAGGTTAAAAAAAAAACACAGGAATACATTACAACTTCTTGCCACCAGCCCTAGGACCGACCTATGCGTGAATTATATATACATGTGCATAGACTAACACTTGTTTCACATGAGTTTATTTACTCATGCGGCTGTTATTCTTATAGAATGTAACATTTAATGTATCACTGTTTTAAAAACTAAGTCATTTTTAGGAGGCTATGATATATCCAGTGTTTTCCTTCGTGGTATAATTATACGAAAATGTTACAGCCTTTGGAAAACCTGCGCCTAATAATGGCATGGTTCATAGCGACTACAGTTTGGACGTACAATTCAATTGCCGCAAGTTTGGCGCAGGCGTCAAGTTATTCTTTCGACGACGGTAAGTTAAAACTTTGATATCGATGATGTTACACTGTATTGTTAGTCTAAGAGTACAGATGATTGTTTTAAACAGGAATACTTAATAAATTAAAGAAAATTAGATATACCATCTAGAAAGATCGATGTTGCTCTTTGGACATTGTCAGCATGTTCTGTAAAATTTGCATGACAGGGCACTATGCTGATACATAGTCAAATATTAATATGCTTTTTGATATGATAACAATATTAACGTTGTACATCTCTTCCTTGCTCTATGTTAAACTGTGATCTACGTGAAAATTCGCAACTATCAATCTAGATTAACACGATCATTCAAAAACAACATAAAAGACATTTTCCATAATATTTGCATTAAGCTTCACATAATATTAATCTGTACTACCTATTTGTGACTGTAAATAAACAACAAAAAAACAACTTGTATTTTTAGAATATCATCCCTAAAATATCGTAGATTATGTCAACAAAATACCAGAAAATTTATAAAATATTTATATTTTGATATCTCAATCAAATTCACTATAATATATATGTTTGTGTGTTCTTTATTAGTTATAATCTACCACACCTTATCAACAATGGGTGCATGTGCGTGAATATTGCCCAGGAACAATTATAAATTAGTCAATTTGAAATTCATTTATGGAGTCAAGGATTGGAAGTAGTTAAGTGTTTTATCAAGTAGTAACGGCTCCATCTTGTTTTCAGAGTATGTAACACCCACTGGTGAGTTTATAGACTGAGCACAGTAGTGTCGCCCTCTGGCACTCTATGGACCTTTCGATTTTTCAATACTCTTTGGATCTCAATATTTTGCCTCTTAGATATCGGTCCTGGAATGTGCATGTGTACATATTTCTAAAATCAATTCTTCATCGATTCATATAAGCATTTTTCAGTTTCAAATAGTATACTTACAATAATTCATATACATAGTTACTTACATATATTAAACAAACGAATTATTAGGCTCATCTCCGCCTTTGTTTTAAAATTTCGAACGGCTAGGTATTAATTTTGCTGTATTTACGTTATTAATAGGAAATGTAAAAAAATCTCCTACACCTCAGCCACCAAACAGGTCCGTCAGTCCAAAAATACTTTATGATTTGTACAAGGATCGGCACGTATTTTTACTAACAGATAGACCGTTAAAAATACCGATTAGACGACGTTACGCCCCGATGTTCGCAGATTGAGAACTTGTGAACAACATTTTAACTAACGCACGAACACGTTTTATGATGCTCCCACACAGCAGTTTGATAACATTAACATAATATGTTACATTTTGCTACAATTTGTTACAAGTCATTAGGTATGCAAAACATTTTTTAACCTTTGATAACCATTAGTTCGACTCTAACAATTAAGGAGCTTGCTTTTACTGTCGAACAATAAATGCGGGAAAATAGCAGAATACCGCATTTGACGAAATGTCATGTATAAAATTCTGTTGTTATTCTACAAAATTCTTAGATATTTTATCAAAAGTTTCATTTTAATGTAAAGTAATGTAAACCGACTTCAAGGAAACAAAAGAATAAAATAATTTCACCACACGTCATATTTTCTGCAAGGATTCAGAACCGATTATTGCTGTCCTTCTTTCTCACCAACTTTTTTAACCAATTCAGAGCATACATAGGTACACAATTGTTTCATAGATTATAACACTATATAATTTGAGCTGACTGTCTGTCGGTCGGTTGTGCCACGATAGTTGCCACGATAGTCGCCACGCTTAACAGACAGGTTGACAACCGTAGTATTTTCATTATTTTTATTTTTATCAGGAAAATGGTACCGCCTATCTTCTCTTTTATTTCATTGGGTAGTGGAATCCCTTATATCTTACCCTACACCGCCTGTACTTGTGTGAAGTCTTCGAGCGCACTAATCTATATAAAAACCGCCATAAAATTCTGCTTTATTATGCCATAAGTACAGTTATGGTATAATAACAAACTTGATGAAATATACTTTAAATGTACATATTTATTTTATTAACGAACTGGAGACGAACCTGCTACGTGTCTGGTGTGTGCGGATAGACCCTGATATGAAATTATGTTTTTAGTGCATGTTATTTACGAATTCATGTATGTCAATGTTGCTTCTATAATATTTTACTAAAAATAATATTACAGTTACGTTTTATCGGGTATTTAGTAGGATTTTATAATTTAAGCTTCGTCTTCACCGTTTGTATTGTCTTTAACTTAGTAACCTAATCTTCTGCTTATAACCTTCACTTTATTCTGCGTACATTGATTTCAAATTTTCGAAGCATTATTGAAAATATTAGAATAGAATTAAGAATGAATCACACGATGCGTTGCGAGAGCGATGCGGTGACACGACAGCGTTTAGACACTAAATCGCGCAATGGACGAATAAATGCTTAATCTAGCGCTAGAATTGCTAAGTTATTTCATTTGCCGCTTAAAAGATCTTACGCGCGGTCGATCTTGCTGTGCGTCCAGCTAGGGGCAAAACGACAATGAATAAGCTTGACGTACATCAATAATTATTATTAATTGTAACTTGACGTAAGTACATTAAGCATAAGTATTCATAGGTATTTATTATCATTTTGAATCGTGCATCATGCATGACTTTGGCATGTGCATTGGCGGGACGTATAATGGGATGGCCCGTGTGTAAACTTGAAATATGTTATATTACATGTGCCAGTCGACATCATCGCAGCGCATTGTGTGGCCTCGCTCTTAGGAAATATTCGCAACACGAAGAATTATTTAACTATATGACTTATCTAATTATTATTAACGAAGTGTTTTCATTAATGTCATGTTTACACCTCTAAGAAGATGGAAAGTGAGAAAGCAATCCCATATAGAAGAGTTCGTTTAAAGAAAATATAGAATGGATTAAAGCATTGAGCTATTATGTACTACGTACTAGAGGCGACACTGCATTCAGCTACTCTGTTCCACTCAACTGCGGTGCATACACCGCACTTTAATCAGTCAATAGCTAGGTGCTTGTAGAGTTGTCACGTGTTGTTTTGATTTAAAAAAAATCTCTTGATAAAAATATGCCGTCTTGTGTACTTAGATATTGCACAAATAATTCAAGAAATGTCAGTAAAAACCAAGGAATTACTTTTCATCGGTTAATAAGATACTTAATCAATAAAAATTATTATAGTTTAATAATAAAACAAATTATTCCTAAGACGCCATCTTGTGTCATGTAATACTTATAGATTATGAAATTAATTTGTTCAGATGCGACATTTCTGTGGGTACTTAAGTATAGGACGAATATATTATTATACACATTTTTTGTAGAAAAATATATGAGTTATCATAATTAGGCTAAATTTTTTATATTTAAATCTGCTCATTATTCTTTTATTTTATTTTTAGGTTTCCACATCAAAGTCAAAGTGGAATAAATTCGTTCATTTTTAATTCTCGCGTGCCCAGCATTTATGAACGACTCTTATTCTAATTGAAATAAATATATTTGTAATATAAATTTTGTACTAATAAGTTTTGTTAAACATACATTTAGTATGTTTTTTTATATTTGACAATGATACCTTTTAAAATATTCAGATAAAAATATTATTAAAATGTATGATACAATATTATGTGATATTATATTAAAGAAGCAAATTATAATATACAGAATAAATGACAAAATTTGAAAATTGTTCTCGATATAATTTAGCTATTTAACAATATAATCTACTATTAACTACTTATCATTCTACTTATGTTTATTCTATGATAAAAAAAACAACCGCGCGAACACAGAGTAGCGCACATTTTTTTTTTGAGATTGCTGTTCTAGTACGTAAGTACATATTACTTCAATGGATTAAAGTCAGAAATTTATACCCTGATAAACATTTAGCGCCTTTTAACGTGCTAATATATTTAATTATTTTAAGTGCCTTATTTTTAATGGCAAGCATTGTTTTCAATTCAAATAGTTTGTCACCTGAGGCACAATATTTATGTGTATTCGTTTACCACAACAATTGAAACAAATGAATGTCATATAGTTAAATATTCAATGCGACCATTACAAACAAATAGAGTGAAACATTTTTTTTTCAATATTTCTCAAACTATGCATGACGTAAAAGAGTGTAATATTTCTATCTTAAATATTTCATCGTACAGTGGCGTATCAGAACTACGAGAACGACGAAGAAACCGACGATCCCTACATGTCGAAGCAACCTTCAAGGATTCTAGAGAGAGACTTCGAGAAACTCGTACTCATAAACCGGACAAGGCCAACGCCTTGCGACCGAGAAATGTTCCTTTACCAATTAGAATATAAGAATCTAGATGAGAAACTAAATAAGCCAATAAAGGACTGCGAAAGGCCATTTTACGCCCAGCTGGTGAACTACACGAACATGATTTTACTAGTTGTTGACGCTATGTGCCCGAGAGTCGAGGCGTCTATTTTGCAGATCGATCCCGCAGAGGTCCAGTATAATGAATCATTACCGTGTTTGAAACACAAACATCCGTTATACAGGAGACAACCAACGTCTTGCATAAGAAACCATACTGAAGTAAGTTGTCAATATTCAGTTATTGCTTTTCAAAATGATACTATTAGAAAACATGTAAGATTTCTTCCAATAACAGTTCTTATATGCACCATTTGCCTGTAACTGTTACGACTAGCCTATGGAGTGTAGAGGTAAGGAGAACAATCTCTCATATGAGAATAGTTGAAAAAGTGTCCACCTAAATACTTCAAAAACTCTCCACAACAGCGCTGGAGTAGCTACAGGAAACAGCTACTTGAAATGAACTTAGCAGTTATCGACAGTGTGAAGTGTGCTGCTAAACTGCTCAGTAGCTCTAAAATCTAAAATAATTTTATTTAGTAAATATAACCTCGAAAAAGTCGTCTATCCCACTAATATTTTTCGGCGCGTTCTTTAAAATTTACCCCGTAGCTATAGTGGCGCCACCCTTATTTAACGGTTTTCTACGGACACTTTAATACACAATCTGTAGTCCTTACCTCTACACTCCATAGACTATAGTCAACCAAATCTAAGAAATACATTTTGACAGCTGTCAGACTTATTGCACCAAGCATGCCAACCAAAAATTGGGAATGTGCAATATTCGATTCTTAAAAAAATCAATATCGATTATTTAGAGTTGGTAATCACTTACAGTTTTCTTTTAATAATACCAGAATAATATAAAAACCAATAAATTTTAAACACAAGATTTATCAGTTTTTTCGTATTTGTGGTTACTTGTGTTTCTTGTATTTCGTATTTGTGGCTTGTATCTAGAGGCACGGTTAAAAAAATTTAAGTTTGAAACTGGAATAAAAATAATTTTATTCAAACACTTTCAGTACAATTAGTTGAGCTGTCGTTGTTTAGATTAATTATTATTTGATTTTCAAAAATGCAGTCAAAATTAATGTCTTTTTCAAAGTCATCCATAATCAATATTTTCGTTTCTTTTTTACGACTTTTACCCATTCATCCTTTGTAACATGGGTACATGCTTCAACGAATATAGAAGAAATAAACTTGTGTTATTCATGATTCATGTAATTTAAAGAATTTTAAAAATAAAAAAATAAGTAAATAAATAATACATTTAAAAATTAATGATTCGATTATTTGAATATTTTTACCGATTATTCGCATAACAATGAATTTTAATCATCCAAACACTACGGTAAGTTACATAGCGACATATCATTGAAACGACGTCAAGTAAAAAAGTTGATACTGGTTATTTTTTTAATATTTTGCTTTGTTTGAAAGATTAGAATTTAAATTAATGATAAAAAAAACTATACACGTTGTAATGAAATATAGATAACTTCATAATTCTTCGGATTTACGTAAAAGGTTATTTTAAATCCTGTGAGTACGCTTGTGCAAAGTTATTGCGGAATGATTAATGTGAAACGTCAAAAGGTATTTCTTAGATTTGGTTGACTATAGCCATTGTTTTCTTTTAACGATCGGCTTTTCAGGCGCCGTAGCAGACAGTTTTTGAGGATCGCAACGCCTAGTCTTCAAAATTCGTGGCCGCTACGTCAGTCTTAGGTTGAAATAGCGGCTGTAACCAACAATACTTCAAATACAAACAGGTTTTCGGGTCTGCAGCGCAATTGTTTAACTTTGGTGGGAATCATTTGTGAGACACTCAAAAATAAGATATTATAATAAAAATACGAATTAAGAAAGGAATACTTAAAATAAATACTGATTCACTCTAGGCGACTACCACCGCCCATTAGGTACTGCAACACCAAGGGAATAATTATTACTATACCCGCAGTTACACAATGGCGCTGCTGCTTGTGTTGTTATCGCCCCCTTATCACATGTAATCTTGCGTACGGGAGGTGAAGACTTAATCGTGTAACTTGCGTGTGATAACTCTCGACAGTATTCGTAAATTGTCGCCGTAGTAAAAATTCGCCAGGAGACAACAATCATGATGATCAGACTCATAAGCCATTCCTTTGTGTCTGACAATAAAGTAAAAGTAAATTTACAGTTTATACAATGTGTGGCGATGGAAATACTGTAAATTTTATCAACAAATCAATATCCCCATTTTTTTCTCTCTCCATGATGTAATGGCAACCATTTTGTTTTTGTTTTTTTACTCGAGGCACGTGTGCTTGTACTGATTAAGCCATAGTTACTCTTGTGGAGGTCCTAGGAAGACGAAAGAGGACTCGTTTGATAGCTAATAATTATATAAAAGAGCAAAAGTGAATTTTTAAAACAAAAAAGGTATATTTTTTTTAATTATTTGTTTTGTTTTAATTATCAGTGCGCTTTACCACCTTAAACTACATCACCACTTACCATCAGGTGGGATTGTAGCTAAGTGCTGGCTTATAAAGTTAAAAAAAAACAAAAGTTATTAGCTCTTTTAAGGAATCTAAACTGTCAAGCTATGCTTTTTTGTTTTTAAACGTTAGTATAGAATGTGTGCTTAAAAATAAGTCTTACATATTAGCCCTAAGTAAGATAGTTTAGAGGTTATGATAATTTAAACATGGTGGTGTTTCTAACGTTGGAGTAGAAAAAGAAAAATAAAAAAAATAAAAATCGATGCAAAAGTTACAGCCACGTTTAAAATGTCCTCTGTGTCTGATCATGTCTTTGTCTCTCCTCAATTCATTCCCAACTTGTATATTTTTTCCAATAAGTTCCTCGCGTCTATTTGGCACGTCGACGTATACTTTCTGCTTCATTGTGCCCCATAAATAAAAATCAAGGGGGTCAAGCCCTGAGAGCGCGGTGGCCAAGCGATTGTTCTACCTCGTCTAATCCACGTCGAATATCGTTCATTTAAATGTTTCTTACATTTACTGCAAAATGTGCCGGAGCTCCGTCCAGTTGTAGTATCATTCGTGAAGGTTAATGGTATTTCCGTTAGTGCGTCTAGGTAATCAGTTACCAAGAACTCCAAAAATCTTGGGGCATACATTGTGGTTGTCAAAATGATAGGCCCAACCAGTATTGTCGATAATTCCAGTCCACACATTCACAGAGAATTGGTGCTGAAAATTACTTTGTCTAACTGCATGAGGATTATCGTGGAGCCACTGACGGCCGTTGCGGTGGTTTGTGTACCCTGATCACGTGAAAGTGGCTTCGTCGGGCCACAAAATATTTTTGGGTTAGATCGCACGTTTCTTGATATCCACAAACAAAAAACTGACCCCCATACAACATCTGGTTCAATTAATTCTTGCGCTCTTCTAAAATGGTATGGATGAATCTTTCACACTGTCCATTTGGATAAACCGAGTCTAATTGCAATGCGACTGACACTTAGTTGCGGGGTCTTGAGTGATCAATATCTCTTCTTCCTCTTGCGATGACACTAAACGGTCTAGGTTAGCGGGTCTTCTAATACCGTTTTCAGCGCGATTATGGTGTAATTTGTGAATGTGCGAACATTCGGCGTCGGTTTATTGGGAAATCTTCTCGCATACTCTCTTACATCACCATTAGCGTTTCCGTTGAGCAAACCATAGACGAAATAGCTGTTAGCCACGTCCTGGCTCGAACAATGGATATATTCCATTTTATTTAAGTTTCGTCATTTAAAAAACGATAACTTCACAACAAAACAAATAATCCAATAACGAAACAAAAACTTAACAAAAACTTCCAATAATAATAACGCACAGTTTGTTGGCACAACAGAGTGTAATCCCAAACGGTTTAGATTTTATGAAAGCTTTCTTATATTTACGCGAACACTACACATTGAAATAATACTAGTTTTTACGGATTTTATCGCGTATATTTAACTTTTTAAATACCCGACGTTTCGAGAGCTTTACAGCACCCATGGTCACGGGGGGGACTGAGATGTTCAACATCCAGATGTCATAGTTAACCGCGGTTACCATAGATTAAAATTTAACTTTTGTTCCGATCTACACAGTATGAACTTATGGTATCTTGAAGTCTTGCAGTTGTATGGGATGGGATTTAATTTTATTTATTATAGGATCCCAAGCAGATGGTAGCACCCAGCCATCTTCTCTGGAATTGGAAATTAGGATTTTTTTTGATTTCAATAGCCTCGTGAATCATCCTTGGAAGGAATCGGTGTTCTTTAGCGAGGATTTGTGGTCTATCAAATCTGATGTAGTGATGGGGGCGATCCTGTACGTGTTCACAGACTGCAGACTTCCCGGAGAGTCGATTCTTCACATCAGCTATATGTTCTTTAACGCGGGTTTTGATTGATCTTTTATTTTGTCCTATGTAGGAGAGACCACATTCACAATCAAGCTTGTACACTCCTGCATCTTGCAGAGGGACCCACTTGACTGATGGTAAAAACTTACCAATCTTCTTCGGCGGCTTGAAGTATGTTTTGATGGAAGCGCGCTTCAAGATGTAGCCAATCTTGTCAGTGACTCCTCTAACATATGGCAGTACAGCAGGTACACGCTCGACTGTGGCCGGCTTCACTCGTTCACTGTGACGCAGGCGCGGGACCCTCCCATGTATCTCTTAATATAAATTTATTTTCTATACCAGTTTGGAAAACAGTGTCTAGGATGCGACTCCTGGTAGTACTGTCATCGCTCATTTCCTTCTATAAAGTGTGGCGATTCCGTTAATTCCTGTTTTCAATTGTAAATAGGTTGAGTTATGATGATCCGTTAATTTAAATATTTTATTACATTTTTGTTGGTTAACGAACATAACAATTAGAGTTAAAGATGGAGAAACTTTTTTTAGTTTTCCTCTTAAACTGGCAACTAGATTATTTTTATTTGTTTTGATTTTTTTTCTCATTTCAGGAAAGCAACATCGATATGTGCGGACGCGGCAGCCTTCCTCGCAATAACATGATGTGGATACCATTAATTATTCTAATTTGGCATTATTACTTGTCATGAACGAAATTGTACCTACACCATAAAAAATTGTTATAAATTCAAAATCTATATAGTTTAATGAACCTGTTACAATTTATAAAAAATAACATTCCAATATTCGAATTTAGTTAAAATCTGATAATACATGAGATAATTTATCAATTTCGTTTAAACTAGTAATTTAACATGTCGATACTACATATCACTAAGAATAGTTACTTTTTAATTAACTATTCTTAGTGATATGTAGTATAGTATTGTAATTTTTTGGCATTATTACTTGTCATGAACGAAATTGTAACTACACCATAAAAAATTGTTATAAATTCAAAATCTATATAGTTAAATGAACCTGTTACAATTTATAAAAAATAACATTCCAATATTCGAATTCAGTTAAAATCTGATAATACATGAGATAATGTATCAATTTCGTTTAAACTAGTAATTTAACATGTCGATACTACATATCACTAAGAATAGTTACTTTTTAATTAACTATTCTTAGTGTTATAGTAGTATAGTAATGTAATTTTTTGGCATTATTACTTGTCATGAACGAAATTGTAACTACACCATAAAAAATTGTTATAAATTCAAAATCTATATAGTTAAATGAACCTGTTACAATTTATAAAAAATAACATTCCAATATTCGAATTTAGTTAAAATCTGATAATACATGAGATAATTTATAAATTTCGTTTAAACTAGTAATTTAACATGTCGATACTACATATCACTAAGAATAGTTACTTTTTAATTAACTATTCTTAGTGATATGTAGTATAGTATTGTAATTTTTTGGCATTATTACTTGTCATGAACGAAATTGTAACTACACCATAAAAAATTGTTATAAATTCAAAATCTATATAGTTAAATGAACCTGTTACAATTTATAAAAAATAACATTCCAATATTCGAATTCAGTTAAAATCTGATAATACATGAGATAATTTATAAATTTCGTTTAAACTAGTAATTTAACATGTCGATACTACATATCACTAAGAATAGTTACTTTTTAATTACAGTTGTTACAAAAAATAATATTACAAACTCCCAAGGTGCCACAGACTTTTATCGGGCTTCGTGTATCAACAACCATATCAGAAATATTTTATATTAACCTTAGCCAGATGGGGTCTGATAGAATGTTAAATGAAAAAATTGGTACAATAATTAAATTTAACTAGCTTTTGTAAAATAAAGGCTTTTACTTTAATTTTTATTTTTAGATTTTAATCAAATTGATGTTATTTATTGGCATCCATTATAGATAACCTTTAGTTCCGTCCTAAAATGTTTACAATATTATTGTTTAACTCTGGCTATAAGAACCCTACTTCAAAAGTACTCTTTACTTTATCAAATATTTCAACTATTTAAAAAGTATTGCTGTATAAAAACCTAATATTAAGTATGATATTCATAGATTATAGTATTTTAAAATCTTTGTCTTTTATCTTGATGTTAGCAAATGTTATCTATTTACTTTACTTTTAAATAATATAATTTTTTATTAGGTACAAAATAAATATTTATTGTAAACTAAGCATTTTTATTTAACAACTATAAGTGATTTCTACAACAACAGTATACTCATTTCAATTATTTTTTGAAGTTCCTTGCTTTTGTCTATTAATAAAGTCATTTATTTCAGCTATGACTACTTGATATCTCTGGTGTCTTAACAGTGATACTTGCAACTGCTCCAACTGTTCCCCTCCTTCCATAAATGTCTTAAGACTGTGCATTGTTCCACCACCATCTCTATGTTCAGTAACTCGGTCTTGAGGGTAGTTGTATGTCCGTATTTTCTCATTTCTATTCATGGAACCAACCTGGAATGTATTAAAATGAATAAAATAAGTTGCTGTATAATATTGGCTGTACTAATTAACTTTGAAATGCTTTATTGAATGCCTTAATGTGGTCCTTATTTTTCGACGTTTTAATTATCATCGCGGCACTTTGTCATTCATTATATACATCTAAATATGAAACAGATTTTTTTCTTTAAATTTTTTGATACAATCTAGGTTGCTACCAGTCGTCAAACTTTAACAAAAAGCATTGTATGGCCGCTTAAATAAGTCTCATTAATTGTCAATTTTTGCGTTTATTTATCATTTAAACTGCAAGTGAAACATGCAAAAAGGTCGCACGCAACTTCCCCTTGCCTCCGCCTCCCTCGACCCCTCTCCTGCGCCTACGTGTCGACATTTAACCAGCCCCGCACTTCTGATTTTTTTTTAAAGAGGGGGGCCAAACGAGCATGCGGCTCACCTGATTATTAAGTTACTACCACCGCCCACGAACAACTGCAACACCAGGGGAATTGGTCATTACCCGGAACGCACGCGTTTTGTTTTAAAAGGCATACAAACTTGTTTCACTTGCTAACGTCTACAAGTAGTGGACTCAGTGCAGCTACTAGAAATAAAACCAACATCTGGTTAATCGGTCAATTACATTTGGAACTACACCAATCAATATTGCCATCCATTGGTGAAGTAAGTATTAAGTTTGTTTTTCCACTACAAAAGTGAAGAAAAGAAAGCTATTCCAGAATCTGCGACTTTAGCTGCTTTCGAAGTGATGAATTGGTGGGAAAAGATTGGTATACCAATGAAATTCAAAAACAAATCATCAGTAAAATACAGAAAACAATAAAAAATGGTCTTAAGCATTAAAGAAAAAATAAACCTCTTCCGAATGATCAGCACCATAAAAATGATCTCCATTTAGCATAAACAAAAAATGGCTACTTTTGCGCTGAAAATAATACTAGGTCACTTATGGTACTTGTCGATATAGTTTGGTTTCTTTCGTTTGCATTTTTTGATGACAAACTTTCCGTGCAAGAGAAGAAAATGTTAATAGCACTAAAAATTGAAGGCATAAAGATAGCTCAAAAAAATTAAATCATATCCACGAAAAAAAAGAAAAAAAAACTTCGTTAGTAGCAACTCCTTACGACTGGGTATCTCAAAAAAAATTTGTATAAAGACATGTAAACTTGGAACATAGTAAACGTAATATGATAATTGCATAGCTGTCAAAAATTGTTCAATCTACGTGAGGAGTGAACGACATAGCAGAGCCTGGAGTTACTTTAATAGAGGAATACAATAAATTGATTACAACTAGGGTTTGCGTCCCGGGACGTCTCGTGTCTCGAAGTCCCGGGACATTTCATAATTTTAGTTGTCTCGAGTCCCGGGACTTTCGGATCGATACTCGAGACGCGACAAGATTGTCGAGAATGTTATGTTATCATTTTTATTTTCAAATAATTGAAGGAGCCTAGCGCCATCTGTTAGTTAAATTACAAAAGGAGTTTCAGTTGTTTGAAGCATCCGGAAAACGTACAGAAAGTTTGGAACTACTGCATAAAGCTTTAAACACAATTAAACTGACATCTGTTGATAACTAGGTTGTGTGTGCTCCTTGTCCGATGGCATTATTACAAAAATCTACTAGGTTCGTTTTATAACTATAAAGATTTAACTGCTTAAAAGTGAACCTGTGTCTGATTAAAATAAATGAACAATGCAATAATTAAGACTGAAATAACGTTAAAGTTAATAAGATAAATTATATATTTCTTAATAACATTAATAAATGTTGATTTTTACAAAAAAGTGCCTTTTTTAATACATTTGACCAGAAATTAACTTAATTAAAATTCATCAAAAAGGGCTCACTTCTCTTAAAATTCCTTTAAAGTCGAAGTCCCGGGAATTCCCGGGACTTTGATAATAGACTGTCTCGTGTCCCGGGACTTAAAAATTGTCGGGAATTCCCAAATCCTAATTACAACCAATGAAGAACAAAAGCAGTATTTACTTTTACTGGTGAGAGTGTAGGAATAAGTACCCTATTACTAATAAATCAACCCTTGTTTCATAAAAATAAATGATTCAAATACCTACATGTGTATTAATTTGTAATAATAACAATAATTTTGTATTTCTTATGTTCAGATTTATAATTGAAATGATCCAACAAATGTAGGGATTACGAGTTATTACTTAAAATTGAACCTTAAGTAGCAAGCTATAAAATTTAAAAAAAATCTGAAATAGATTGTTTTGGTATAAAATCAAATTATGCGGTGATTCGTGACATTAAAGTAAAATATTTTTTTTCTAGAAATAAGTACCACTCCACTGCAGGTATATTGCAGTTGTAACACGTGGGTAGGCTCGACCAGGGAAGGACCATGCTCTCACAGAATACCAAGGTAAAATAGCAGTTTAATGCTGCCGTATTTTATATGGTAAGTGTAAAGAACAGGAGACCCTTTTCATTTGAAATGGGGCATTTTATCTTAGTTCTTGGGGGTGACAACGCTTATCTACATTTTGATTCATAATGGATAAATGTAGATGTCTATGGCCCACTGCAACCACTTACATTAAATGGACTGTGTGCTCTTTTGTAACCCTTATCCTGTAAAAAAAATTGATGTGTGGCTGCCGTAGACATGGGTGTGTTTTACGTAAATACGTGCACATAACGAAATAACCAGAAAATAGCGGCCCTACCTAATTACCAATTTAACGAAATCTTTGATTCCTTAGCAATCGCGTGGATTAATAAATTTTAGATGTAAATTGTAGATATGTAGCTGCAACACCGAACTGTATGCCTCGATTATGTTATCATAATATTTCAAAATTCCCTCTAACTATGGAGGCAAATTTAAAGATGCATTCACATCAAAAATAGATACCTACTTCTTTTTTGTAATTATTCTAAAAACACATTCGTGTTACCTCGCATCCTAGTGTCTCAGTATAGGTACTAATGGTAATAATATTTTATTATGATAATTATATTGTTGCAATGATATAGTCAAATATCGTGGACAAACATTGTGCTGCAAATAATAGGAAGACCATGAAATTGTATAATAATTTTCAAAATACCTAAACAAATAGGTATTATGTTTTTCAATTATCCTATTTTTTACTATTGTTCTATATACATACATATATATATTTGTAAAT